TCGTGTGACTATGGTCGATAATCTTATATATTATATAATTACTAGCATAGTAGAGACAGTGGAATAGGATTTTCAATGTGTAGACTATTCTGTGTTCAACATTACCATTAGATGAAAATCAATATTGTCATACCTGTGTAATGGCACTACAGTTCCTTAAAGTTACATTCTTTAACAACAAAAAAACAGAATTGCTTTATTCACACTATAAAGGGCCCAAAAACTCTGCAATTTCTGTGAAATCTTTGTAGCCCAGATCATTTAAACCCAATGTCCAGCATCACATGGCAACGATACATTTCCAGCAAGTAAGAAAATATTCCAGGAATATATGCCCTACCATAAGGCGAACTGAGCGAGCGCTCCAGGCGTCAGACCTCGGGGGGCGCCTTCGACTTGTTCCTTGGTAATAAAAAAAAGGGAAAAATATATTATCGCTTTGAATTCTGTCTCTGCTTTTCGATATTTTGCTTTTCTGCTTGTGAGCAAGCTTGTGCTTACTTAGTATGTGAATAACCTGTCCTGACGTTTTTTTGAGACGCGCACGGATCGTGGGTGTGGTGGCGCCCTTACCCGAGCATTTGATCACGATATTTCGGATAGTGATAACGGTCACCTGAAATCAGTCCTTCAGGCGTTAGCATTTAATAATTGGCAAGATACGTTTCCTTATATCTGGACAGCTCTCCGTATTTTTGTTACCATTCCTGTTACAGTGCCGAAAGGTGAACGGAGCTTTAGTAAGCTTAAGGTAATTAAAACTTACCTTAGCGGTCAACTCTAGCAGAATAGAGAAACCTTCAAGATCTAGCCCTGCTGTCCATTGAAAATGTTATAGCTCAGATATTGTCATATGAGGATTTATGAATAAAGCTAATGCAAAAGTATGCAAACACCAATTTACCTAAAATTTCGTATTTTGTTTTTTCGATTTTTATATTTATTAGGCCCGGTTTATTTATATTCAGATAAACTTGCGGATAATTATCGGCAAGATAAATTTACCGTTCTATAAATCTATTGGTCGGCGCATAGCCGGCCAACCAATGGGATAAGATATTGCATTTTTATCGTTCAGATTGCATAACTGACACCTGACAGTTTATCAGAAGGTGAATAAACCGGCCCTAATGGCCGTTTCCACAAACTATTACGATAAGTATTCCCTAAACTGACATTTCTCCATGAAAAACTGTCAGTTTAGGGAATACTTATCGTAAGGGCTTCCCGAAAATAACTAGTTGGTGGAAATGGCCATAAGTGTTATAAGTGATATTACCAAAGTGGATTATTGGTTGATCCCATCAAAGAATGTGAACTAAATATTAGTAAATAAGAGAACTTTGTACCAACGAACAGAAATGTTTTCAAATTTCAATTGGTAAGATAAATAGACACATTGAGCTTTGTTTGTTCCAACCCAGCAGGAAACCGTAATATTATCGTCAGGATTCAGCGCAAAACCTAAAATTTTTGCATAGAAACCGAAATTCGTATGCAGAGTGGTTCCGAAACCGTTCTGGGACGTTTTTTTGACGGGTTGGAACAAACCTATTAGCAGGGTTGGATGGGACGACCGGGCAACCGGGCAACCGGGCAACCGGGCAACCGGGCAACCGGGCAACCGGGCAACCGGGCAACCGGGCAACCGGGCAACCGGGCAACCGGGCAACCGGGCAACCGGGCAACCGGGCAACCGGGCAACCGGGCAACCGGGCAACCGGGCAACCGGGCAACCGGGCAACCGGGCAACCGGGCAACCGGGCAACCGGGCAACCGGGCAACCGGGCAACCGGGCAACCGGGCAACCGGGCAACCGGGCAACCGGGCAACCGGGCAACCGGGCAACCGGGCAACCGGGCAACCGGGCAACCGGGCAACCGGGCAAATGCCTGGTATAACTCTGGGCCGGTCGGGCCGCAGGCCCGACGCGTCTAGAATAATAATAAAATTTTAAAATTTATATATTTGACAAAAACATCATGAAAACTACCTATCTAAAACAATATTAAGGCTGTGGTCCGAATATAACCAGGGCTGTGGTTTCGCGGTCCGAAAGCGATCAAATTACTCTGGTACCTGCAAAAGTGGTTACTTTTGGACCTTGGTTTCCTGAAATCTGGTTAACCAAATGTCAAAATAGTTACCGACTATCGGATGTCGGTTCTGTTGGTTTTATCTCTAAATTCCTAAAAATTCTCTCAACAATTTTTTATTTCATATTCGTGTTCCCTAGGTAACCGGAAATTTCAGTGACCATCTGTCAACCGGATCGGTTACTTTGGTTAACATTTGGTTATATTCGGACCATAGCCTTAAACTGAATATTATGCGTGAGGTCCGAAACCACTGGTGACGGTTTAATTGAGAATGCAGTGTTGCCAATCTGAATTTGTGAAATTACACGATATGCTGGTCAAATTACATAGTTTTACACGATTTCGTCTCACAATTACACGATTTATACACACGACCTAGGTACCTATTTAGTAACATCAAGAAGCCAATATTTATGATTTTGGGAAATGGGTCAAATCCAGTCAAATCTGAGGGTTAATTATCGCTCCTCAACCAAAAACAAAGATGTAGCATCGACAGAAAAGCGATCCAAAAGTAATCTAATTACTAATTACTCTAGTTCCTGGAAAAGTGGTTACTTTTGGACCCCAGTTTTCCTGCCAGGATGAGGCACCCCAGATGACGTCATACAGTTATCAGGCAACCTACCTCTCTCAAACATCCTAGCCATAAGAGTAGTCACTTGACAGACCATTTGACAGACAAAAGATAATGGAATGTAATGCAAGGAGCAATTAAGAGAAGAGAAAACGTCAAGTCCTATTTGTTTGTCACAATGGGACCGTGACCTATCTATATGTAATAATATCGAGAATGAAAATTCCAAAATATTCTTTCGTTTTCTTTACAGTAAAATTTTTGAAAGCCATTTTTCATTCTTGCCGTCCAAGGGAGGGCTGGATGAAAAAAATTGCCAGGGCCGGTTTGTCTAAGCCCATCCAACCCTGCCTATTAGATTAGATATGGTCAAAATCTATACTCTCGCATGCGAATCACATTTAAACTAGGGGCGCCAAAGTCAGATCTCGCTCCATACTAAAAGTAGCCTCGGGCCGGCACTGGTCATATCAAAATTCAAGGATCAAAGTTACAGAAAAGAGTTGGAATGATTTTAAGACGATTATACGATTATTACAAGAAGTACCTAAGGTAGATTTTTCGAAAAATCACTTGAATATCTAGGGTCCAAAATAGTTAAACAAATCATTATTTTTCTCTAAGTTATGCGTTTTCTTCTAGGTATCTACCTCAAGTTACTAGAACTAAACTTCCCAATTGCCTGTCAAAAACTTAGGTACAACTTCAAATACTTAAAAATCATAAACTGAAATTCCCTGGATCAAAAAATATAACAAGCTTGAAGCAAATATTTGACTCAGAAGCTGAATTATGATGTTTCTTCTATCCCAACTCAGTAAATTTCCGAAAAGTAAACATCAAGATTCAAAAATTTTCAAAACTGAAACTTGCGGTAGGTAGCAGATCCTGGCACCACCTCTTGTGAATGTGGGAAATTGTAGGTGATATTTAGAAGATTCTAAATCTTCGACTCATCTAAAAGGTTTTCAAAGTACACACCTATTTTCCTCTTTTATCATTCAAATTTTTTGTCATTGATTTTTCACAATCTGTAAAACCTTCTTAGTATATATTATTATCTCTTATCCTATATAGGTATAGTCTGTAAGATGTTTTCACAGCCTTACCTGTCATATTTCAATTGAAAATCAATTTCTTTTGCAATGTTGAAAGAATTGGCTTGAGATTTAAGTACCTATAACCTTCTTCTATATAGACTCAGAAAGTTTCAAATTTTAAAATCATCATCGGATTTTGAGATAAAAATTCAAATGTCTCATAATGCATTTTCCCTACTGCTTTGAATATTTGCTGAAGTTGATTTTTTTGGTTTTTTCTAGTTTTAGGCCCAGTTTCACAATGCACTGGTTATTAAACTAATAGTTGCGGGTTGACCACAAGTTCGCAAAATAGGGCTTGAGTCAAATACTTTGAGGCTTGACCAATGGTTTGGGCTAAACCACACATAACGAAACAGATATATTGTGGGTTACCAGTGTGTCTGTGGTTACCATTATTTGTGCAACTGGCAAAGGGATCAGCTTGAGATTCTAAAATAAGATACTTTTAACCCAGACAACACACAAAGTCTTACTGGTCTGCCTTATGTCTGATTCGTCTGAAGACCAAAAAAAGACGTCTAGAACACGTTGGTCTAAAGATATCGTAAATTCACAACTTAAAGACAACTATTTGCTACAACAACCAAACCTTAAAGTAGATAATAGTTTATGTGATGGAAAGAGATTCGAAGACAACCTTAAGACATCTCGTTGAAGACATCTTTAAAATGTCTCAGTCCTAAAGACGACTTCAGGCAGACGTCTAAAAGACTTCAAGATGTCTTTGAGACACCTTAAACTTTAAAAGACCTAAGCAAGACGTCTTGAATGTCGTTTATGGATATCATTTTGAGATAAAAATACAAATGTCTCATAATATATGAACTTTTTTACCAGGAAATATTAAGAATTGAAATGATTTTAAGACGATTACAAGAAAAAAGTTACAGCTACTTTATAATTTACTCCAAAGTTGAAGTCTACCTACAGAATTACGCATAAGTACCTACTTTGAAAATTCAATGGTGTAAACACTGGAGATTCTGGGTGACCATCCAATTGCTACAACAGCTAGTCCATATTTAGTATACTGTTCCATAATTTCCCAGATGAATCCGAAATAGCTATTATATTTGCTTGTGAAAATATACTTACTAAAGATCAATAAAGATGTTTAACAGGATTTTGTTTTTGCACTCACTAAATGTCTATAAATGCTTACAAAATGTCTTTGATTTAATGAAAAATACAATACTAATAGAACTCTTCCTCAATTCTTAGTTCTAGAAGATCTAATAGCTGGTCTGACTTCAAACCGGCTCACCAAAGACCTCCTTCGCCCTCAAGCAGCCTACAGCCAGGAAGCTGTACGCGAAATAATCGAAACCATTGCAAACTCCTCGTCAATGAAACTGGACCCTGTCAGCATGAACAAGCTTTGGGATCTAACTACTATGGTTTTCAAGTGGCAAGTAAGCACTCATTCAAGCTAATTACTATTACTTAGAAAAACTTACCACAATAATAATTTGTAGCTTACAATGTCCTCAGCTGTAATCGAAACAACTCAAAGACACCTGTACGAAATCGAAACTTTCGTTGCAAGCGAAGGGACTCAATTACAGCTTCATAGAATGCAAAACATTCTAGAAAACTTCAACAAAATCCTCTCCGCTGAAGAAAAATCCGCCTTACACGAAGACCTATTGAATTGGTGCCAGCCCTTCCACATCCGAGTGTCTTTGTTGTTGAGAATGGGCCTGCAAGACAACGAAGGACAATTTCTAGTCAACAATTTGGACCCAATTGCGGAAAAAATGCTGCAAAACATCGGCGAAAATATTTACCGGGTGACCAAAAACGGACGGATTTTGGAACGTGGCATCAATCCTACTCGGAAAACTTCATTGGAAGTTGAAAACGTAAACGAGCTTCAGTGTTTTGTAGACGAAATGCTTGGCGAACGCAAGCTGAGTACTGGCAGTACCGATAGTACCAACCCAAATTTGTTACGCTTATCGTCATTGACTGAGTCTAAGTTGAATAATAACAGCGACAAATTTGATAGTATAGATGTGAATGTTAATGATAATGAACAATTGCAATCGTTGATGGTTGATTTGAATATTAAAGATGATGCTGAGCAGAACAGTTTCAAAGATGACTTGTTGAGCATGATTGATGGGGCTCAAGGAGAAGTTGTTTGAGTTTGAAATGATAATTTATTATGTAAAAGTGTGCCTATATAATATGTACTAGTCCTAGATAATTAATATGTAAGTGATAATCAAAAAATAAAGTGCCTTCAATTATTATTTAAGTATATCTTTTTTCTGTTTTCTTGGTCTTTCCTTGGAACCATTTTTCATTATTCTTGGTTTTCCACATTTTCTTCTATATTCATTGCATTCGTCCTAAACGTCTTCATTTTGTCGAAGATATTCTTGAATTCTTTCAAAAGTTTCAATTTCCATAGAGTCTCTTATTGGCCTAAATTCGTCTCTATGTACTTCACCTCTTTTCCATCTAGCGACATTTTAGAAACCTGTACCTTATTTTGTTCAAGTAGTCAAATTTCATGCTCTTTTAACTCTGTAGAATGGGTAACCTATATTTGATCGAAATACGGAGAAACAACTTTCAGATCCAACAGAGATTTTCTTCTTCTTCTTCTAATTAACTTGTTTTGATCCACTCCTGAATGTACTGACAACTTTGAGCATGAGATTTAACACAGATTTCTACAAATGAGAAAGAACTATGAGATTCAACAGAGATTCTTATTTTGCGAATGAAAAAACTACATGTAAAATTTAACAGGTCTTCAAAACAGACTTTTCACATTTATCTCTGTATGTAAGACTATATTCCATATTTTCCCATCCAGTTTTTTTCAATTTTCAAGACGTCATTACATCAATTAGCAGATCAAATACAGATCTTCGAGCATTTACATAACTGATCCCATTGAGATTCCTAAAAATGAGAAACAACTAGCAGATCTAACATAGATTTTTCAAGAATAAGGAAATACATGACATATCCAATTTCTGAGATTCTTCAGGACAATCCAACAGAGATTCTTTTCTTCTTTTTATAAACCTGTTTTAATCCACTCCCGAATGTACACTTCAATATTTTTCCATTTCTGCTGGAGTTTTCATCCAGTTTTTTTCAGCCATCCAGAACACTTCCCTATATTATTCTTTCTCAGTGTATGAGAAATAGCTCAAACATCTTGGAAAATGCAACTACACGACAAATCAGCTAATCTTTTTCAATGCTCAATGATTATTCCCGACTCTCGAATCAAATCAAGAGCCGGGAATAATAGCTTGACTGTTTAATTTTTCTTGAATCTATGGATCCGCCATTTTCTTCTGGATATTTCATAGCTTTGAGTCAATAGAGAACCATAGGATGGAGTCAAAATTGAATTAATGAGCTGATCTTTTTCAATGTTCAATATTTGATTATTCCCGGCTCTTGATTTGAATCAAGAGCCAGGAATAATAATAACTCGATGGTTTGAGTTTTTAATATACTAACTTTTCTAGGATTTTGCTATGATAAATCTGCCATTTTCTCCTAGATATTTCTCAGTTTTAATTTACTAGAAAATCACAAAATGCGAGTCAAAATTGAATTAATCAGCTGATATTTTTCAAAATAAAAGAAATGAATAATATTATTATAGTTCGTGAGTAGTCTTGTCGTCAGACAGTTTTGTCCATAATTTGTTCTGCTGCTGGTTGGAAAAAAAGTTGCCGTTTTCTAGTTCTTCTGCCAGGGACGAGGAAATGGATTTCTTGTGAAATTTCAGGTGAACAAGTAATACCACATCTCAGCTTATACAAAAAGATCAATTGTGCATTCTGACGTCTATTTTTCAGACTAGAAACAGCTTCTTTTTTTACAATGAGCACACGTTTCTCGTACTTTTTTGTGGGACCTATCAGCTCCCACCATCTTGAATGACGAATGACAGGAAAATACCAGTGGCGTACACTCGATCGACCTACAAACGAATGGAGAACCACACGAAAATATACAAAACTGTATGATTATTCAAAAACTGCACATAGGATTCAATTCATGTAAAGTTAAGGAAAAGGTAGAAATTCATGTTACTACTGTAAGTTACTTTCGTTAGGCGCACAAATATTTATAATAAGAAATTCGAAGAGCGAATCTTGATCTTAACGCCATCTAGGACACGATAATCAACACTACACGCAATTTTGCTGTGCAAAATGGTGAACGTTCCAAAGGCCGACCAAAAATTAATCCAAAAAACTTTTCTCAAACAGTGGTACTTTTGGGTGAAACCCAAACGAACTGAATTTTGGTCTGCCTTTGGAACGTTCACCATTTTGCACAGCAAAATTGCGTGTAGTGTTGATTATCGTGTCCTAGATGGCGTTAAGATCAAGATTCGCTCTTCGAATTTCTTGCATTTGCCTTTAGGCGAAAAATTGGATTGGTTTTCTTCGCTTTTCCTAGCCATACTGATGAGACCTGATATAGGTCGAAACGCGTCTATGGATGGAAAAGCGGAGGAAATTAATCCAAAAACTTTTCTCAAACAGTGGTACTTTTGGGTGAAACCCAAACGAACTGAATTTTGGTCTGCCTTTGGAACGTTCACCATTTTGCACAGCAAAATTGCGTGTAGTGTTGATTATCGTGTCCTAGATGGCGTTAAGATCAAGATTCGCTCTTCGAATTTCTTGCATTTGCCTTTAGGCGAAAAATTGGATTGGTTTTCTTCGCTTTTCCTAGCCATACTGATGAGACCTGATATAGGTCGAAACGCGTGTATGGATGGAAAAGCGGAGAAAATTAATCCAAAAAACTTTTCTCAAACAGTGGTACTTTTGGGTGAAACCCAAACGAACTGAATTTTGATCTGCCTTTGGAACGTTCACCATTTTGCACAGCAAAATTGCGTGTAGTGTTGATTATCGTGTCCTAGATGGCGTTAAGATCAAGATTCGCTCTTCGAATTTCTTGCATTTGCTTTTAGGCGAAAAATTGGATTGGTTTTCTTCGCTTTTCCTAGCCATACTGATGAGACCTGATATAGGTCGAAACGCGTGTATGGATGGAAAAGCGGAGAAAATTAATCCAAAAAACTTTTCTCAAACAGTGGTACTTTTGGGTGAAACCCAAACGAACTGAATTTTGGTCTGCCTTTGGAACGTTCACCATTTTGCACAGCAAAATTGCGTGTAGTGTTGATTATCGTGTCCTAGATGGCGTTAAGATCAAGATTCGCTCTTCGAAGTTCTTGCATTTGCCTTTAGGCGAAAAATTGGATTGGTTTTCTTCGCTTTTCCTAGCCATACTGATGAGACCTGATATAGGTCGAAACGCGTCTATGGATGGAAAAGCGGAGGAAATTAATCCAAAAACTTTTCTCAAACAGTGGTACTTTTGGGTGAAACCCAAACGAACTGAATTTTGGTCTGCCTTTGGAACGTTCACCATTTTGCACAGCAAAATTGCGTGTAGTGTTGATTATCGTGTCCTAGATGGCGTTAAGATCAAGATTCGCTCTTCGAATTTCTTGCATTTGCCTTTAGGCGAAAAATTGGATTGGTTTTCTTCGCTTTTCCTAGCCATACTGATGAGACCTGATATAGGTCGAAACGCGTGTATGGATGGAAAAGCGGAGAAAATTAACCCAAAAAACTTTTCTCAAACAGTGGTACTTTTGGGTGAAACCCAAACGAACTGAATTTTGATCTGCCTTTGGAACGTTCACCATTTTGCACAGCAAAATTGCGTGTAGTGTTGATTATCGTGTCCTAGATGGCGTTAAGATCAAGATTCGCTCTTCGAATTTCTTGCATTTGCCTTTAGGCGAAAAATTGGATTGGTTTTCTTCGCTTTTCCTAGCCATACTGATGAGACCTGATATAGGTCGAAACGCGTGTATGGATGGAAAAGCGGAGAAAATTAATCCAAAAAACTTTTCTCAAACAGTGGTACTTTTGGGTGAAACCCAAACGAACTGAATTTTGGTCTGCCTTTGGAACGTTCACCATTTTGCACAGCAAAATTGCGTGTAGTGTTGATTATCGTGTCCTAGATGGCGTTAAGATCAAGATTCGCTCTTCGAATTTCTTGCATTTGCCTATAGGCGAAAAATTGGATTGGTTTTCTTCGCTTTTCCTAGCCATACTGATGAGACCTGATATAGGTCGAAACGCGTGTATGGATGGAAAAGCGGAGAAAATTAATCCAAAAAACTTTTCTCAAACAGTGGTACTTTTGGGTGAAACCCAAACGAACTGAATTTTGGTCTGCCTTTGGAACGTTCACCATTTTGCACAGCAAAATTGCGTGTAGTGTTGATTATCGTGTCCTAGATGGCGTTAAGATCAAGATTCGCTCTTCGAAGTTCTTGCATTTGCCTTTAGGCGAAAAATTGGATTGGTTTTCTTCGCTTTTCCTAGCCATACTGATGAGAACTGATATAGGTCAAAACGCGTCTATGGATGGAAAAGCGGAGAAAATTAATCCAAAAAACTTTTCTCAAACATTTATAATAAAACTCGATTTTATTTTAATTAAATATACTCCTGGACAAAATTATCGCACCACTGCACATAAGCACCACCATAAGCAATGGTGCGATAATTTTGTCCAGGAGTATATATTTGCCACAAAGAAAACAATATTGCTATTTCCAGATCGACTGATCACCATCAGTAAAAGTAAAACATCTGGACTGGCTTATCCTTTTTTGCTGATAACACTCATCCTTATTTGCTTTGTCATCCGTAAGTTTTTGTTAGGTAGTCGCAAGTAACTCTTCTTTACAGGTATTCGGTATTCGGTATTCTGTTCGCTTACGTTTATTCCATGCAGATCCAAAATGCTCTTCTATGTAAAGACGTTTATTACTTCTTGATGAGACCAAAATAGAAAAAAAATTCCAAGTCTAGGCAAAAAAATCTTCGATGTTAAAATGACTGTGCGACGCTGCCATGTTTCTAGAAATTTCGTAAAATCTAGGAAATATTAGAAATGACTTTCGTCTCTGGTATATGGTATCACCTGAGACTGGTTATGGTTTATTTAGATTAATCTTTTTGGTCTGTGATATACATCTGGAATTAAAAACAGTGCATGAATGCTTTCCACCATATATGCAAACATTGATTATCAAGAAATATAGACCGTCAGATAGTGACATATTTAGGTGCCCCATTTTCGCATACAAGCCTCGAAGAGGGTTGAAAAGTAGGTACCTACATCGATTTTGAGTAGGATGAAGGTATTTTCACGAGTGGCTCCTTGGGATAATATATGGAAGATTCAATTTTACGTATGTTACTCTAAAATGTACTTTTCCATTCGCGACACTCAAGCCAATATGTTTTCTTGCTACCATCTTTGTAAATTTTCATCCTTCTGATGGGCTTGTGTGGAAAAATCGCCCAAAATCTCGATTTTTCCTCACAAGATTACACCCTTATTTCAAACCTTTAGCCACCTGCAACACCCCCTTCTTTGTTTTCATAAAGCCAAGATTTATTGTTTAATCCTTTGGTAAACACAACTTGCGAGAAAATATGGGCACCATCAGGACGTCTTTCATTTCTGTTATAGAAAATCGAATTTTCCATAATTAATCCCCAGGAGCCACCCGTGAAAATACCATCATCCTACTCAAAATCGATGTACTAGTCAACCCTCTTCGAGGCTTGTATGCGAAAATGGGGCACCTAAATCTGACAGTCTAATATAGTCAAAGCATAGAAGACTAATTTGATTGAAAATCGATTTCTTTCAATCCTTTCTCACTGCATAGCATATTGTTTATTCTATAATTAGAAAACACAAATGAAAAAAAATCTATATATTGTAATTAAATTAATGACATGCAAACTACAAACTTGATAATCAGCTTATTGGTCATCGAAATAGCTTTTGACCCTTGACCGCTAAATAAGTGATTCTAAATTGCTCCAGTCTGTGTTGTTTTACCATACAATACAGTCGCGTTTGTATTGCCAGACTGATTTGTGATAAGAGCGATAATATTTTGTACGATAAATTTATTAATTTGATACCCGGCTATAGTGAATAATAATTATACCAGTCAGGTGAGAATTTGATTTGTTGTACCTATTTTGATAGTTATCAAATTGTTAGGTACTTTTTTCCAATCCTAAACTTAAATTATGGAAAAAAAAAATGTATATTATACCTACTTAAGTTGCAGTTTTGCATGCATTTAAATATAAAGTGGAAATATTAATTGATGATTTGGACAATTCAACAATACTTGTTTTTTCAATATTTGCACATTAAACTGCCTTGAAATATTAATTGGTCAATAAAACGACATTGAATCTTCAAAAAAACAACAATTAATAATCAACCTTAATTAAATACCTACCAATTATTCTAGATTCATCATGAAACAAAGTCCAGAAGAAATAGTCAATAAGGCCCGCAAGGCCTTCGCCAGTGGTAAAACCAAAACCTACGAATTCAGGTTGAGCCAGCTAAAAGGTATAAGACAACAATTAAAATCAATAGAATCCAATCAATCACATAAATTGTATAGGTCTAAAAAAATTCGTCTCAGACAACGAAGTTGAAATGGTAGAAATATTGAAAACAGAAAACACTAAACCAAAGTTTGAAGCTTACCTAGGGGAAATCAATCATATGAAGGCTGATATACAAAACGCTATTAATAATCTGGAAGAGTGGATGAAGCCTTTGAAACCTACTAAGCCTTTACCCAACATCATGGACCAAGTAACTTGTATACATTTTCTACATAATGATACATTAATTGTTTCAGGTCCTAATTACTCCAGAACCATTCGGTGTTGTCTTGATAATCGGCCCCTGGAACTATCCACTTGCCCTAAATATTTCTCCATTAGTTGGTGCGATCGCCGCTGGAAATTGCGCCATAGTAAAACCTTCCGAAGTGACTCCAAAAACTGCCAATTTTCTGCTGGAAACTTTACCAAAATATCTGGACCAAAGTTGCTACTACGTTTACAACGGAGGGGTTCCAGAAACCAGCGCTTTGCTGGAACAGCGATTCGATTACGTTTTTTACACTGGCAGCACTGGCGTTGGAAAAATTGTATACGCAGCTGCTGCCAAGCATTTGACGCCTGTTACTTTGGAACTTGGAGGTAAAAGTCCTGTTTACTTGGACGATTCTGCTGATATTGAGGTGGCAGCTAGAAGAATAATGTGGGGCAAATGCTTGAATGCTGGACAAAGTTGCATAGAGCCTGATTATTTACTATGCAGCGTCTATATGAGAGATAAATTTATCAAGGCTGCCAAACTGGCTATAAAAGAATGGTAAAAACTTTTGCTGAAAAACCTCATTTTCATATCAACACATTTTAGGTACGGAGACAATCCAGCCAAAAATCCAGATTTTTGTAAAATAATCAACGACAACCATTTCCAGAGAATAACCAGATTATTGAAAGGTGCTAAAATTGCCATGGGGGGCGCAACAGATCCTGAAACTCGTTTCATCGAGCCTACGATTTTAATTGACGTAAAACCTGATGATCTGGTAATGCAAGAGGAAATCTTTGGTCCAGTTTTGCCAATTTTAACCGTGGACACTCCAGAAGAGGCCATAGAGTTTATAAATAAACGTGAAAAATCTTTGGCACTTTATGTGTTCAGGTAAGCAGTCTCTGTTTCAAATGAAAACACTATATAATTATAGGGCTATTTTCTTTCAAGTACAAGTAAAATGGAGCAAGATAAGTTTATTAAAGGCACCTCAAGCGGTGGTATAGTGATTAATGACGTAATGATGCACTATAGTTGTGATGCTTTACCTTTTGGAGGAGTTGGTAACAGCGGTATTGGTAGATACCATGGGGATTTTAGTTTTGAAACTTTTTCGCACAAGAAAGGTTCGAATGGATTTTGTATTTTAACTGAGTTATTATATCTGCTTGATTTTTAGCTACTTTGGTCAAAGGATTGGACAAAATGGGCGAGTTTATGCAAAAAATCAGGTATCCTCCCTACACCGATGGAAATTTGAAAATCCTATCGACGCTGACTCAGAAATTTCCAATTGGACCAGGATTAATTAGATTAATCAAGCCTGCGCTTGCTGTAGTTTTAGCTCTTATTGTTTATTTTGGTTTTTATTTCAGAAAATAAAGAAATTAACAGATAATTTTATACGGCTCTTGATACAAATCATGAGCCGAGAATAATCAAATATTGAACATTGAAGAGGATCAGTTGGAGTAATTCAATTTTGACTCTATTTTGTGGTTTTCTATTGATTCAATACTATGAATTATCCAGGAGATAATGGTGAATTCATGAGGTGGGTTCGGCTTGCTCACTCCGTGCACTCCGAGTGACTCTATTCGCACTGCAGCCGTTCGGGTTAAGATTCGGGTATTGCTTTTTACCGTATTAGGGCTGACTCCATTAGCTCTGTTCACTCCACTCCAACTTCGCGCTGAATAGCCGAACCCAGCTATGATAGCAACATTCTAGAGAAATTATTCAGTCCAGTCAAGTTATTATTCCCGGCTTTTGATTTATTAGGCATTGGAAAAGATCAGCTGATTCGTCGTGTAGTTACTCTTTTTCCAAGATGTTTGAGTTATTTCTCATTCTGGAGAATCACTGAGAAAGAGCAATAGAGAATCGTTGAAGGATATCAAAAAAGATGATTTCTCTAGATAGCAGAAAGAAACTGGATGAGGACACATGAACACAGGCAGAAATGGGAAAATATGAAAGTTTACATTCGGAAGTGGATTAAAACAGGTTTATAAGAAAAAGACTCTGTTGGATTGTCCTGGAGAATCTCAGAAATTGGATATGTCATGTAGGTATTTCTTTATTCTTAGAGAATAAAAATCTATGTTGGATATGCTAGTTGCTTCTCATTTTTAGGAATCTCCATGGGATGTCATGTAAATGCCTATTCTCAAATATCTGTCTGGTATTACATCCACAATAAATATGTTCGTTTGAGATAGGTTAGTGTATGTTTCTTATTCTTGAGGAAGAGTTGGGCAAAAAGTGATGACATCCTGAAAATTGGAAGAAATTGGATGGGGACGTCAATACAGAAATGATGGGAAAATATGGATTAGAGTCTTATTTATTACCTAGACAGAAATAAATGAAAAAATAATGTCTGCAGCGATCTGTTTTAAAATCTGTAAAATTTCCGCTGTGGTTTCTCCATTTTCAAAATAAGAATCACTGTTGAATCTGCTAGTTTTACATCCACTTGAGCATAATCATACGTTACATTTCAGTTAAATTTCACCTTATCGTGACTTAAAAAAAACTTAGAAATTATATAATTAGGTGAAGTAGTTAGGGGAAGTGTACCTAAAATGGGATACTTAAGGTTTGGACTTGGTTTTAAAAAAAAGTTCAAGTGGAAAATAACTGACAACCCTCATGAAGGATATACCAAATAATACTTTATTAAAAAAATAAAAATCACAGTCTCAAGTATAAAATAAAAAACGAAAAAACAAAAAATCTTGCTCTAGTCAAATTTCCCATTTTAGAAACATATATATCTAAAACGGGATCTGTAGTGTTTCTAAAATGGGATTATATTTCCAAACACAGATCACAAATGAAATAATGCGTTTTGTTGGTTGATGGACCGCAAGCTTCGTGCACCCATCTCTGGCAGGAACTGCACCGAATCCACTGGTCACCAGGCTTGCTGCCTAGAAAATCACCTTGGCAATAAAAGCATACAGGATTTTCTTCATCGTCACTGTTTTCTTTGGTATTTTTTTTGGTATTTCTTTCTTTGGTTTTGTCTTCCCTTCTCACATCTTTTTGGTTTCTAGTCTTGTTTGTTGCTTCGTCAGTCTTCTTTTCAGTTGAACCTTTTTTCTGTGGTTTGGAGGTTTTCTTTACTGATTCTCCCTTCAATAGTCCTTTTCCTTTCAATGGTGGCAGTTTACTGGTTGGCAGTTTGAGTCGTTTCGCTTCTAGACTGGCATTCATTCATCCTTATAAGGTGAGCTAGTTAAGGTGGCAGCTTTACCTCTATTTGCTATTCATATTTAAATTGAACACGAGCATTGTGGTTCTAAAATGGGATGCATCCCATTTTAGAAACACATGCCGCGTCCCATTTTATCAACACATCTACGTAAAATAAACAATTCCTGCATGTTTTCGATATCAAAATATAACCTCAAAATTTCACATGTTAAGTGATCATTTATGTCCTAGCAACTGTTAAAAAAATTATCGTCGTCATTTCATTGGCCATAAAAACAAAAAGCCTATGTTTGTAGATCTATATTTTTACAAAAAATATGTTTAAAAATTAAAAACTCACCTAGCTGCATTGCACCTGTCACGATTTTGGTCAATCTGCTAAAGGTTATTCATATACCGACAGGAAGTATTAGGTCAATTGCACAAAAGATGTCGCTGTATCTACTACAAAATAATTAGGGTATCCCGTTTTAGGACAGTATCCCATTTTAGGTACACTTCCCCTACATACATTTCTACCTCAATTTTATGTAGCTATGTTTACTGGGACGAATCTTTCAATAACTGTTTTCAACCAGTGAATTCGTGATACTTTTGATGTAAAAAAGATAATTTGATTATTCTCTTAGAAACATGAATCAGTCAAATAACAAAATTAAGAGAAATTGGCCTCCTTTCTGTATGAATGCTTGATGAAGTAAACTTGAAATCAGATTATGAGGTGTCTGAATTTGAATCTTTTCATTGTATTTCAGCAAGGAATCAAAGAAAAAATACAGATATTCGACTACACTATAAATATATTTTAATAAATAAACAATCAAATAATCAATCCATTACTACCATCTCCACCCATGACAATGATTACACCCATGAAACCTGGACATGTGTCCGCAAGGCGGAGGTCCGTAATAAACTGGCGGTGGTGGTGGCGGTGGATGGTGGTGGTGATGATGGTGAGGGCTCAAAATGTCGTGAATTATTTCGCCCAAGACGCTGTGATGGTGGTGTGGCGGAGGCCCACCGGGATAATGGGGCGGTGGGCCGAAATGTTGCCCGCCTGGACCGTGATGATGTGGACCACCTGGACCGTAATAATGTGGACCACCCATTAGAGAAGAAACCTGAAATTAATTACAATGTGAAAATTTTGGGTCAGTTTTCTTCGCTTTTCCATTCACAGACGCATTTCGATCTATCAGTTCTCATCAGTGTGGCTAGGAAAGCATAGAAAACTAACCCAAGTATAGTGCCTGTAGACTAAGTAGAACTAGTACTAGTACTTTTGGTTGTGACTCAACATGGTCAGTACTAATACAGCAAAATTTTGTTTAGCGTTGTATCCAAGTCTTAGATAGCGCCATGACCAAATCACTGACAAAATATAGAAATTCTTACCTATAATCGGAAGTACACTAAGTTTCAATACAACAAATTTTGAATCAATAGGCTTGATTGCAGCCTTATATTTATATAGATTTGTGTTGCATTTTATCTTATCAGTGATTTCCAGTCAAAAAATAAATATAAATGAAATAGACAAATAATACTGATAAAAATGACACATACGCTTTACCAAGAAACAATGTATTGTTACAAATGCAAAACACTCATCTAATTGCGTTTTATAAAAGTACCTACCTAATATTTTTTGTTTTAAAAATGGACAAATTTCAAATTTTCCTATGACGAAATTTTGGCTTTGAAGAATCATTTGGGATCTCAAAACTGGGACTCTGTAACTGATAGAAATTCTTTTACATCGAAATCAAAAGAAAGGAGAGGACAATAGAGATATTTATCACTATATTGACTTCTAATATTCGTTACAAAGTCTTAGCTCAGAAACTCTATAAATTGTTGATGTGAGATTTGAAAAAAAAAATGTTTGAAGTGTGTCTTTCTATTAATAATTATTATTGTCACTTATCGCAATAAGGTTTCGAGAGTTTCATGAAGTTCACTTGAACAGACCTACGCAAGAACATAATACAACATGGTGGCAACGAAAGGGCTTCAAGATTAAACAAGATTTTGCAGAGACGTTGTAACGGAAGGATCGAAATTCAAGAAGTTTGATGGTATCAGGTACTTCAAGCTCTGATGTAGCTATTTCACTTGAAGTACAGTGGATAAACGGTAATTATACTTGGTATTTGAACTATTTTTAACAATGTAATGTACTTTGCTTTGTGATTGATTTCATCAAGTACAAAGACTTGAAATACATCAGAAGTACTCCAACTACTATCAAAATACTTCAAGTACAATGAAAGCTGCAAATTCTGCAAAAATGTACTTGAAGCTCGACTTAAAGTAGGTACTTTATATTTTCAAATATTTAAAGTAACACAGACATTAGAGGCTGTTTGTTGGATTGTTTGTTATTTTTTAACAAATTCAGTACTTTTATTAATTACTTGATAATTGGAGTACAGGGTGTTTTTTTATGTATTGACACCCCACCTACAGCCTTCATCTTTAAAAGTAGGTAATGAAAGCTATAAATAAAGAAGTTGTACAGTATTAGCTAAATTTTTAGAATCCATGGTCAGAAACAAATATTGAATGTCAGAAATGTGAAATATTGTATGCTTTCAACTTTTTTCAAATGGGATACCTACGCTATAGTTGGTTCTATATCCTTGAAAAGCACAATTTCCCGATTCCAAAACTATATAGTTTGTCTGTATTTGGTTGAGCCGTTTCCAAAATATTTGGATCTAAAAATTTTAAAAATACTATCAATAGTAATATAACTAGTGCAATGGAAATTATTGATAATTTTTGGGAAATTTGCCCGAATGCATTTTTAGTTGAAAAAGAGCACGAGGGCACGTAGTGCACGAGTGCCTTTTTCAGTTAAAAACGCATGAGTGCAAATTTGTCGAAAATTATAAATATATTTCCATTGCACGAGTTGTATTTAATGACAGAATTTCATAAATCAAAAATTTAAATCTTTTGTCAAAAAATGTCAAAACACCAGTTTTCGCACCAGTTAGTACGCAATTATCTGATAATTTGCACTAGTGCAAATTATCGCGTAATTACATTCTGATTGGTTCAAAACAACAAGCAAAACATGTCAATTTATTGTTGGAATACCAGTTTTGACAGATGTATGAAATTCTCGAATGTAATACCACAAGAGGTTTCAGGATTACCAGGTAAAAGTATTAGGTAATCCTGAAACATCGAGTGGTATTCAAAAGGTTATACAACGAACTAAACTTCAATACTTTATCAATCTTTATAATCATTAATGACAAATTGACAATATTGCCACCAAGCGCGATAATCCCAAAAGGCTTATCACTTATTAAGCCTCTCGTGTCATATGGGAATAATGTACAGTGAGTTGTAAAATCAGAGAAATCAAGTACCTACCTCAAATTTTACCTGCAGCTTTCACCTGTTGTACAGGTAGAATGGTTCACAAAATCAGTAATAGGATTGTATTTTTACAATTTTTGGTGCCGAATATACGAGAGATTACTCAATCAAATATAGATCGGGACATTGTGCTCTTCAAGAATATAGAATGAACTATAAGGCATCCCATTAGCAAAGAGCTGGAAGCATGCAAAATTTCATATTTCTGACATTCAAATTTTGTTTCTGACCATGGTTTCTAAAACATCAGCCAAAACTGTAAAATCTGTTTTTTTTTTAAAGATAAAAGTCAAAATGACATTATGTTGGCAATACAATGTAAAATTGTCAATGCTTTCAAATTTTTATGTAGAAGAGGCTTGTATTGCCAACATAGTTACTAAATTTTTGTATTTACACCTTTCTTCTACCTGTAAAGGTAAAGACAGGTGGGGTGTCAATATATAAAAAATCACCCTGTACAAATAAGTGAATTATTGCGGAACTTATAGGTGAACCTCTGCGCAGCCATGTACTTACGAATGTACTGTTGAACTTTGAACTATTCAAATAAAGACATTAACCTGAAACGTGAAGTTTTTAAACTGATGAGAATAACTCACATTTGAGTGAGTCAGGTAAGTATCGTAATTACACAACATATTGATGAAAAGATGGCTGCGGAACTCGCTGCACTCGTCCCGCAGAGGTCTACCCATAAGTTCCGCAACAATTCACTCGTTTGTACTTGAATAACTTGTCGCATTATATTACTAGTTTGATAAAGTGACATTACTAATTCCTGTTAATAGCCAAATTGAAAAAAAGTGGATAATCTTACAAATTCTGACTTTATATAGGTAATAAGTTATTGTTGAAGTATAAATAAATGAATTATTGCGGAACTTATGGGTGGACCTCTGTGGGACGAGCACAGCGAGTTCCGCAGTCATTTACTGACCAATATAGTGTTGAACTATTCAAATAAGATACTCACCTGAAGCGTGTAGTTTTTGAACTAATGAGAATAATTTTATATAAAAATGGTTATTTTTATTTATTTTATATAAAGATGTATATTTTTAGTACCTAATTGACAGACCGGAATATTAATACTTCATTCTTCGATCCGGGGCCGGATTCTCGTCCAAGGGAGTCGAGCTCTCCGATAGAACGAATGTTTTGTCCTTGTCAACGTAATCGAAAAGTAAACGAGAATGATAAAGACAGAAAATTTGTTCTCTCGGGGAGCTCTACTCCCTGGCCCGAGAATCGGCCGCTTCTCGAAGATGTCGCCTCCAGACGGACATGGATCGGGAACTTCAGGGTCTGTAACTCCGGCTTAGCAGGTAAATTTGGGCATTGATGTGAACCCATCCAGATAAACTGAACCAAAATGTCCAAATATTTGACCACAGTGGCGAAAAAGATTTGAGAGATATCCTGTATCAGGGCAAAACAGCAAAAGTAAAACCGAGAAAATTAATTTGCTTTTATATGTAATGGGAGATCAGTCTCAAGATATACTGATGACCTTTACAGAGCCACGGCCAACCACATTTGGAACAGATCACAAATTTCTGGTTCAGATGCTGCAAACCAAACCTCTAGCCGAGCTTACTCCAAGGCTTCAAAGGTTCAGAATAAGAATTATGCGCTATGTTTATGTTATCCACTTATGCTTCAGGAAAGAATCTCACCTCACTATAGCAGATGCTTTATCCAAAAATGTTTTCCAAAAATCTTTAGTAACCTGAAAATGATGAGCTTGGCGCATGAGGCAGTTGCTCAGGTAAGTTTGGTAATTCAGTCAGTATAAATTGAATCTCCATTTCTTGAGAAAATGAAGCTAATGATCCAATTTGCAAGAAACTTGCAGAGTTCTCTTTGTCACGATGGCCCGAGAAATATAAACTAAGTGATGAAATTTGTAATATTCCGAGAAAATAGAACCATAAATCACAATGTCTTTACTGTAAAAATTTAATAAAGGTCAAATAATCAAAAACAGAATTTCCGCTATCTCCAAATCAGTATCAATAAATTGAAAAGGGAACAAATTAACGTTTAATATTATAATAGGTGTTTCGTCATCAAGCCTGTGTCATCTCCTAAATCAATGAACTTAAAAGAGCGAGGCCAAGTAATTATAAATGATTTATGGCATTCTTGAACCAAAAAAAAAAAGATATATTGACCTCGATAAATTAGGATATTGCGACATAATTATTCGATTCTTTTAAACTAAGAATGATAAAAATTTCAAGGAAATTGCATCAATATTTTTAATAATATTTAGGTCGGCCAATGGAATTCGGATTGCTAGGCAAACGACCGCCTATTGACGATTTGGGGGATAATTGATAATACTTTGCGGGGGGATCAATTTAATATAAATACCGCGGTTTTAGAAAAGTAGTTACTTGTCAGTTGAGAGATGAGTTCGCAGTCCTGTCCAGTTTGAGTTAAAGTCTGTCCGGTTTCGCAAAAAGTTTCTTTTATGCCGTATGGCCTCGGGTTTAATTTGACTTAGAAAAAGTACTGAAAATTGTCAAAGAAATAACATTTGAAATTCGTTCAACTTATGTGCGAGCTCTAAGTATTCACAAGAATTAAATTAGATTAGTTTTGTGTTTTATGGACAAAATGTAAGTACTCTATAGTGCCAAGATTTATTTTGAATATAAATGATGAACATGACTTTGTGTGATTAAACTTTGAATTTTAATGCCTAAAAACTTGAGTGATTTTGACTAGTAAAACTTTCTGACTTTTATCAATGATTCTGAATGAATGATAAGAAGTGAATTAAAAATGACTTTTAAGGCCTAAAAACTTGAGTGATTTTCACTAGAAAAACTTTTGACTTTATAATTAACTTTGGAACTTTAACATAACATAATAAGTACTTATCGATTTGAGAAGGGATTATTAAAGAATTTTGAATTGGATTGTCCAATTGAAGGGCTATAGTAATGAACTAATTAGAATTTGAATAATTTTGTATGTTAGCCAGGATGGCAAAAATAGTAATTGTTCTAATTAAAGGGAATAGGAAATTTTGAAAAGAAACTTGATGTTCATGAAATGGAATTGTTGTCTTAAAAATCTTGGAAAGTTGTTAAAGGAAACTTATAATAGAATTTGTTCAGATTAAATAAACTATTAAATGGAATAGGTAATTTTGAAAAGAAACTTGATGTTCATGAAATAGAATTGTCTTAAAATATTGGAAATTTGTTAAAGGAAATTATTGTTTATGAAATGAATTTTGAGGTAGGGTTTTTAAATTTCATGTAGGAATTTATTGTAAGGTTTTATAAGAATAAGTTAGTAATACCTATATTAATAAATAAATAGGTAATTATTTTGGGTTTTTCATAAACAGTCACTAAGGGACTTAGTAATTTTAAAGAATTTATATAAATAGGTGGAAGGTAGTTTATTAGGAATGAATCGGAAGTGTTGAAATGAGTTAACTCATAAGTTACTAGGAATAGTAGGAATAGGGCGTTTCTTATTTAGTAGGGATATTTCAGTGGTCCGTAATAATAACAATTTTAGAACGGATGTGAAGTAATTGATTTTATAGAAATAGATGAGGCTGTCAGAATTGGAAGATATTTTGCTGATTTAAATTTTTGGGTTTTATGTATAATAAAATAATTTTAGTACACCTCAATAGTTTATTTCTCTCTCTTGCAAATAGACCCTTCCACAGATTTAGGTAGCAGCTCCAAGTAAATAAACACCATCAATATACCGCTCGCCATTTACCATCTAACTAATTACATAGAGTACTTGGGGCGTTTTGCTACAAATTCTTCCCTACTATACGCACCGTTTTGAAAATGGCTTTCAAAAAAATCTTTTGATAAAAAATTCTAGAATTATTATCCCTCCGAGTTTACAGCAAAATTGTTTAGAGTTTATCCATCAAGAGTTGCTAAATGCAGAGCCAGAGCAAAAGCATCTGTATGGTGGCTTGGTCTCTCTTCACAAATTGAAAACCCTGTCAAAAATTGTCCAGACTGTGTAGAATTCAGAACTAATCCAAGAGAACCATTCCTAAAAGAAGAATTTCCTGAACGTCCCTGGCAGAAACTAGGTATAGATCTGTACCCAAGCGTTACGATAAAAAGCACCAAACAAGATAATTGTCTAAACTTTCTATAGGGGGCAGTTTTTGGGTAACTGATCTAAGAAAATATGGGATAGTTGTAGCTGTTTTAGATGAACCACGTTCTCATATAATAGGAAAACTTGATTCCAGCACCATATTATAAATCTCAATCACCCCAATCACCAATTACCTTCATTAGCAACCAATAGTAGGTAGTATTATTAGTTAATGATGATTCAAATGATGATGAAAACGAGAAACTTTGGTTAAGAATAGTTTAGGTAATAATAATAAACAAAATAACATTGAAATAAGTGAACGTCTACGTCTATTAGAGACATTTCAGCTACAATAGCTCATATCAACCTTCTGTGAACAGAAGACCTTTTAGGAATATTGAAAAACCCTATATTATCTTGAAGACTATATTTTTTCCTAGGTGTAGTATTGTCACAACCCCTATACGTTTACGTCACAACAGGAGCGTGACCTGGGGGCGTAGGTGGGGTTCAGTTAGAGAGAAACTCGCTTGGTATAGGTATAATAAGATTATACCCTAAAAATAGTATCATGACGTCTCTTCTACAGAGGGACGTACTACTTATAGGCCACTCTGTATTATGTACACTCTGTACACTTGGCGTGACTGAAGAATGAAGCTGAGTTTGAGACAGGTCCAGAAGGGCGTTTCCCAATAAAGGTAGTTTACACTGGACCTAGTCTGCTGAGTTCAATACCCCCCGAAGGGTTTGGTTTGAGACAAGTCCAGAAGGGCGTTTCCCATTAAAAGTTAGTTTACACTGAACCTAGTCTGCTGCGTTCAATACTCTCAGAAGGGCGTTTCCCAATAAAGGTAGATTGCACTGAGAGGAGACTTAGCTAGAGGGGCTTTTCCCATTTGAGGTACTTTGCACTAGTCTCAGTCTGCCGGTAATGGATTTCGGCGCTATATTTATACCACATAAATGCTGACTCGTCGACACACTTTAGTAAAATTGATGTACAAAGTGGTATTAACTTAAGTAGTATTAGAACTAGCTATTCTTATTATCATTGTTAGCATTTAGTTTCTTTGTTATCCTGAGAAAAGAGGGATGTTTTGTTAGTTAACTTTTATATTAATAACTGCCAGGTGAGGGAACTTGGTGGATAACAGGAAATGTAATGAGCTTGGAAGTATGTCTTTCTATTAAGAACTATTGTCACCACCGCAATAAATTTTCAAGAGCTTTATGAAGTTTACTTGAAGAGACCTACCCAAGAACATAATACAACATTTGTCTCAAATTCTGGTCCTCAAAAGTTCAAAAAAACTTGCTCCAGTCAAAATCAAAACATAATTTTTTAATCATTTATTGAGTAAATATTGCTATAGTAAAATATTTTTATTTAATTTATTTAACAGTATTATCCAGTTTCATCAATAGTTCCATTTCCAGCCCTGGCAATGATGACATCCGGGCATCCTTTGCATGTGCTGACATGGCGGCGGCCCATGAGGTGGCAGTTGTGGGTACATATTCCTAAAAATTAGAACTGATTATAAAATCAGCAACTTAAAACTACTACAAATTCTAATTTCAGCTCTTAGAAGCAGCAAATTCAATTCACCTGGGACAAGGAGTAGGTGTCCAGCTCCATCCGGAACAAGAATGGCAACCGTGTTTGAGTTGATAGTGCTGACAGGGAGGCAAGCCTCTTGGAGGCACTGCGACATCAGCACACGAATCCCTAAAAACAAAAAAAATTTCTTCATGATTCAAAATTGTAAATCAAATGTTTTTATCAAAAACTGCTTCATCATTCAAATTTTCGATCTGCAAAGGTTCCAACTATAACTATTTGGATACTGATCGCAAACTGAATAATTTGAAAACACATAGGTACCTATACATAGACACATAAGTGGGATAAAATTAAATAAATTATTGGTCATGGAAGGAGAAGGAAGATAACTGTTTTGCCTCCTCCTTATGAAGTCATGTTGGTTATAATTCCAATTCTTCCTATTTTGATACAAATTAATCTTGAATATTTCCGAAATCTGGAGAAGTTTCGAGAAGTCGAGTAAATATTAGGTAGTTGTAAAGAAAATCCGAGGAACTTCAAGCCAGTTAGAGGAGGAAAAACAAGAATCATTTTCTATGGAAACTCAAGAACCTGGTTTTTCACTACCTTGATTCAAGGAAGTTGGTAAAGATCCGATAAATTTCAAAACATGCAAATCTCAGTATAGTATATTAATCTTTAGTGAGTGATCATTTTGATAAAATTCAATGGAAAAACTATACTTCCTAATCAGCACAAGATCAATAAACAACTAAATAATAATTATCTGTAGTATAGAATTACTTCTTACCAATTCCATTTTCTGCACAATAAACAACCATGAGTGAACGAATAATGATGGCACGAAGGATAAGATGCAGGTGGCAAACCGGATGCCCTGTAAACTTGCGGAGGCTTGTAGCTAGTAGAAGGAGGCAAACCAGATGCCCTGTAAACTTTTGGAGAAGGTGGTTTATACACGATTCCTGGAGGTGGTGGTCCACATGCTACAGCATAAGACGGCGGTGGAGCTTCGTGATAGTAATGGTGGTGCGTTTCCGACCGTTTGTCGTCCACCATTGATTTGACTACTCCGGCAGCTACTCCTGCTGCTAGGCCTCCAGCTATACCACCTACAATAGAATGTTTTAGTTGAAAATCGCTAAGAAAAGCATGCTTACCTAAAATAGCTTGGGCTGGATTAGTTTTGTGGTGATGGTGATGGTGGGGCATATTCGCGTTGTGGGCTCACCTATGTAAGAAAGCAAACAAATACATTTTGCGCCAGTCATAATTATATTTTCACTTGCGGTTATCTTATCTTTATCGAGTGGGTTTTTGTTCGGAGATTGTTTTGTTCAATATTGCTATCTGTGACAGCTGTTTTTTTAATTAGAATTAAAAGTGACTAATGATTCTAATAAATATAAGATAAGTTTTTAGGTTCATCATAATAATATGAACGAGGAACGAGGGGAAAACTAGCTAGAGTTTCATTGCCTACTAAGATAAATGAATATTTTGAGCACTTTGGGCTCCTTGAGACGTTCAATTAGAGCATAGCAGGCACCGGAACCTTGGGGGCAATGGGAGCTTGAGTCCCCGTAGTGAATTTGCTTATGGGCGGAGCCCCCATAGTAATTTTGGCGGGACGCTGCCAGTATTCCACCATCTTAGATTTAGCTAGTGGCTTCCACTAGATCCAGATGCATGAAAACGACATCGAAAAAACCGCATTCAGCACAGAAAACGGGCATTATGAATTCTTGCCCTTTGGTTTGAAGAACGCGCCGGCTACATTCCATAGGATGATAATTCTCTAAATTCATGTTATCTCCTTTTTTTAGTCACTCCTGCATTTTGCCATTGGTATTTTTCCTTCTGAAAGGCATTTATTGAGTAGTTTTTTGATATGGTTCATAAGTTCGTTGCCTCCCAGTTTTAGCATCTCTACGGTTATGTGGTCTTCCTATAGTGATTTTTTATTTTTTAAATGTCGTGTTTTAGTTCTGAAGACGTAATTTCGGGGATTTCTTCTAAGCCCATGTTTAGTGTAAATGTGGTTTTAGTACCGTAGATGTATAGAGGTTTTTATAAAAGTGTTGAATTTCGTCCACAATGGATTTCTTATCGCTCACGAGTACTCCTTGTTGATTTTTGATGTTTATAATTCTTTGTTTTCCGTTAGATGACTTGGTTTTCATAGTACTTTCATATTCTTGTTGGCTTCGATTGTTTCTAAGATTTATTTAGTTGGTCTGTCTTTATCATTTTTTTCACTCTTGCATTCTTCTCGTTGTATTGTGGATCATCTCTGTTCATTGTTCTTCTCTCTGTTATTAAATCTACAGTTTATGTGCTTAGTTTTGTGTTTTTTGAATTTTTACTTTTGCTGCATATTTTCTTTGTTGTTGTCTGGATGGATTCTGTTATTTTTTCAACTAACTTGTTAAGTTCTGTTGGGTTTTCAATTAATTTTAGTCTTGATATTCATTTTTTTTCTGGGCTAATATCTCTATTGTCAGAAACCTCGACTTTTTCATTAATTTTTGTCTTTCATGTCTTGCATTTATTTTCATCGTAGCTCTTACCAGCCTGTGATCACTTCCGGTATTGAATCGATTTAAAACAGATATATCCCTGAAAATATTCTTCTTGTTGGAAAATATATAGTCTGTCTTTTTTGTCTGGGCTAACCCACATCTATTTTCGTTTGGGTGGTTTTTTGAAAAACTTGTTCATGCAATATAATTTTTCTTTGACCATGAAACTTGCCATCATATTTCCTCTATCATTCCTTTATCCTAGTCCAAAATTTCCCAGGTATACGAGAACGCTTTGTTCTTTATTTTCGATCTTAGTATTTAGGTCTCCTGTCACCACAATATAGTAAGACTTTTCTCTGTTTATAGACTCATCACTTGAAGTGCTGGTTGGGGCGTAGCAATATATGAGCTGCATGGTAGATATGTCTCTTGTTTATGTTCAACAAGAGACTATCTATCTGATATTCCCTGATATTTTCTTACTCAGTAATAAATAGTATAAATAAATGTATACAAAGTGTAAATAGAAAAACGTGCTTTATTTAACAGCCAGCTATTTCGGTCGAAGAAACGTAGATAACATAGACAGCAACCGGGTCAACCAGGAAAACCATTTATCAAGAGGAGACTCGAAACTTTTGACGAATTGTGCCACTAGAAAGGAAAAAGTATGATTCTTATAATGTGTACATTATTTGAAATTTAACTTACTGAAAGTTTGAGAAGAGAAGTCCCTTGACATAATAGAGGGTTCTATTGCAGAAGGGTTACTTTCTGTATGCGGCGAGGGCTGCACTTCACCAAGAAACAGCGCAGCAATCAGAAGAAACAGAACCACACCGAACAGCCTCATTTTTTAAGTTTAAATGGATTTAATTTTTGTGTAATAATAATAATTACCCAATATATTATTGATTGATTTAATTAATCCATTGTTTTAAATTAATTGGGTATCGTTTTAAATTTTTTATTGTATTGCTAAGGTACGATGAAAATCAAAATTTTCTTCTGGCTTTTCTAGTACTTAAACAGAGTTTCCTATCAATTTCCTAGCCAGTTTCCTGAAGCTGTAAAAATTAATGATTCTTATGGTCTTACAGCAACTACAATGTTACGGAACAGAAAATCTTATTTTAGTTTTATATGTGCACGATGGTCTACTAGCCTCAAGCAAGGAGGAAATGAAAAAAATATTTTCTACGCCAACCACAGATACAACCCCAATAGCACAAAAATATTTTTATGATATTAAATAAAAATATTTATTTAATGTTTCATGTGACAGATTTTTATATATTTGATAGATATTTTTTAAATATATTGTCTTTAGATTCAAAAAAAATCCTAACCTAATATATTTTTTAAATATTTTTGGAATATTTTCTTCAAAATATATGTTGAATCAGTTTTTCAAATGTTTGAAGAATATTTCATTTGAATATTATACCTAGATTTTTTAATAACATTAGTTTAATGTTATTTCGAAGCACGAAAAGTTGTTCAGGTAAGGTGCTAATTATGGACCAACTGGTAGAGGTCCTGGTTGTTACCAAGCAGGTGAATTCTATTCTCAAAGAATAGAATTTACCTGCTTGGTAACAACCAGGACCTCTACCAGTTAGTTCATAATTTGGCCCTTAAGCATGGGAACAAATGGATTACCTGAACAACTCTTTGTGCCTCAAACTCTTACTCTGAAATTCAAAATAGGTACATAATTTTGAAAAGATCATCAAATGTGAATCAGCTGACATTTGACCCTTCATTTTGAGGGACAGGCCTGTTGGAATTTAAAATAAAACTTGCAATTTCTTATAAACATATAATTATAAAAAAATTGCAAAATTAAAAATAGGACAAATTTAAATTATGTAAATAGATACATACATATTATACATAAAATATTTTGAAAATGAATACCTATCAAATTGAACTAAAAACAAAATCGGTTATTCTTAAGAACCTATGCGCGACACATAATGCTCGAAACAAAATCCAATAAATATGTACCTACATACAAAAAACCTTATTTTTTCATTATCTAATTATTTCAGTTCAAAAATCTTCTTCTTCTTCCTGCCCTTCGCTATCCTGTGGTTCGTTACTGAAAATTATAATTTAGTTAGTATAGAATTAAGTATTTATTACTTTTAGAAAGGAAATAATTTTTACAACTACCTTTATAAGTTTTGATTGTCAAATTAAATAATTTTATTTTTTTTAGACTTTGTTGAAAATAATTATTTTTGAGCACATGCACATTGAAAGTACGGGTAATTTGCTATACATACACATTCGTCACATTTGGTTCCTTGCCCAATCTTGATTTGGCAGTTGCCAAAAACAAAGCCACTGACTTTTTTATCCCGTCTTCACTCTCCGTAGGATGTCGTTTACGAGTAGATGCTGGAATTGAGAAAAACATTTAGTTAGATTTTTTGGGAATCATCCATTGCTTTAAAAGCCTACATGGGCCACTGGTCTGCTAAATGTGATGAATTGCCAATTTTGTTTACCTATAATAGCTTCATATATCTTGAGAGAACAGAAGGGAAGTTTTTTCTTCTTGCCTTGTCCAGAATATTGCAAGGCTAGTTTTTTGTCAAATATTTTGGTCATCATTGTATATACAGCCTTATGTGCGGTAGATCCACCCAAAAGATACAAATAGTTCACCTAGAAAAATCACCACCAATAAAATTTAAAAATATCGATTTAGTTTCAAAATTTCAAAATTAAAAATAGGACAAATGAGTTATAAAAAAAGGTCATCAGAGCAGAACAAATAAAAATTCAATTTTTAAGAAAACCAAGATAACTGAAGGAAAGTTATAAGCTTACCAGTTCTTTGAAATTTTGACGTCCATTTGTTATAAATGAGTTGATGTCTTCCAACTCACCTTGCGTTTTGCAAGGGAGTTTTTCAGCATAAATCAGCTCATTACCAACTAGATTGTCTGCATTATTGAAATTTTCTTTCGTATTCATAAAGGCATCCAAGCGTTTAAGAATCTTTGTATTTTCCGCCATGTGAAATTGAATTTCCTCCAAAACTTTTGAAAGTTCTGAAAATAAAATTCACTAAGTAAATACCGAGGTAAATAAATACATATCACTTAAATATAGGTCGAGATATAGGTATTTATTTTTGAAACACACAATCTTGTGAATTGAAGATTTCCAAGTAATGTAAGTGAATCATGCTTTTTTAAATTTGGACTCTAATTTTTAAATTGGGTACTAAATATTTAACAGTTATTACCATTTGGTTTCGGAGTGGAGGGTTCAGATTGGGCACCTTTGCTACTATTACCTAGCAGACTTCGAGGTCGAGCCTGACTTGATTTAGGCTGGATCCCGTTTTTTGGAGTCAAATTTTCGTCTAAAAAATTTATATGAACATAGTATTCAGATGTTGAGACAATTTGTCATTTTTACCATTTGAACGCTGAAATCTATTTGAGGGATTCTCATGTATAATATTATTGTTGATTTGATCATGAGCCGGGTCATGAGCATTCATTGCTACAGCAATGGCAGGGCTGTCTAGAAAAATATGTAATATTTTGTTATACAGGTGTGGGACATTACATTGTGTGACAAATGGAAAACTTTTTTACTATTAATGTTTTCAAAAAATTAGTCTTGATTAAGTTTGGAAAAAATTAGTTTTGTTTTATGTGTGAAGTTTTGAATGAGGCATAGGTACAGAGAACATACAAAGTATAAAAATGTCGATTTTAAAATAAAAATATCAAAAAATTAAAAATTTGTGTCAAATATTTTTGCTCAGGCTTTAAAATGTTTTTTTGAAAGAAAGTCCCCCATTTAATGCTTGTGCTATACATATAATAATATTTACCATTTTTTGAAGATGGAGTTGTAAATGCTTCTCTCTTGAAACCTAACAAATTTCCTTTTTTGTTAGCTTTTGCTGTATAACCTGTAACAAAATGGTAATTTAAAACAAAAATTCTGATAAAAAGTGGAAGCTAATTGAATTTAGAGTAATAGAAGATTTTATTTTTATGTTTTACAAAATGCGTTATACTCACGTTTTGTTGAACCAGCCTGTGATTCCTGTGAAACTTGAAGTGGAGATGATGACTTGGATGATGTATCATCTGAAGATGATTCACTTGATTCATACAACAATTTTTTTCTCTTCCTACGTCGCTTGTGTGGACCATCATTCTCTGAGCTTTCTAAATTTGAAGTGTACTGGCCCTTGTCACACATTTCTTTAGCCATAGCCAAATCCTTGACAGATGTGGCTTTGCATACAGCATCCAACCAAGTAAAATTTTCTGGTTCGAGACAAGAGTCTATCATTTTCCTAATTTTTGTGCTGCTGCAATTTTTTGGATATTTGAATTGGGTTCTTTCAAAATTTCCCCATGACGATGGAACATAATCAATGCTGTTTTCTGGAGTCCAGACAATAATGTCCCAAGATTTATCCATCAGGATACTCGATCAAGTATAGTCAGTTTCACAATCTTCAGGCAGATGCTTTGAAGCTTGAGCCTTTGCAATGTATGAAACAGTGGACAAAAATATTACATAATAGCACTTTATATTAAAAAGAAGCAGTTTATATAATCGAGAAATACCATTTTTAGGAAGGGTACCTACTATTTATTTATAAATATTTGGATTTACCAAAACAACTGATTTTACCAAAAAGTCCATATTCTATTAGGGAACTTGTTATTGCAAACTATAGGAAATGGAAAAAAAATCGATACGTATTTTTTTATTTTGTCCAAATGTGATTATTCCAAAAGTTATACAAATATTAAGTTTTGTATGTATGTATAGATATACTCTGCATGTGCGACGTCATAAAGTATTATACCATATGACGTCATGAGCACGTTTCAAAGCGTTGTATCTCCATCAATTTTTGACTAGGGAAAAAAAGAAAAACACGTGTTGACACATTTTTCATCGACTAACGAAATCAGCGATAAAAAAAATTGATGCAAGTTCCCCATTATCTCTGGTAAAAAAAAACCAAAATATGTAGGTCTTTTGACAAAGTCGTATTGAGCAATTTAAAATTTACATTATAAAATACTTATGGAAAAAAATAATAAAAAAATACACATTTTATTTGAATAGTTTTATGTTTTATACAAATCAAGTTTTGTCCAGCCCTGAATTTTAATTTAAATGTAATAATTTAAATGCAAAATATGTGGTTTTACAATTTAAAACAAATGCTTTCGATAAAACATTTTCAAGTTTCACTCGTGTTTTGTTTTCGACAAAATTTTGAAATTTATAAACTCCAACATCGCTTGAACTAATTGGGAAAGAATAAAAAATTTTAAGTTTGCTAGACGTATAGCCTACTAAATATTCATTTTCGCACTCAGTTACTCTAAATACCAGATCATTACATAAAAAAACGAAACAGTCACATTTACTAACTCCAAATTTGATTTTGGAAGTTGGCATTTGGATAAACTTACAGGAGTGATTTATGAAAAAATTTGTTTTAAATTTCTCATATTTAACAAATCTCTCTGAATTTTCAGAAAGACGTTTGCAAATTTGTTCTAAAGGTTGGTTTGGCTTACGAACCATATTTTTCAATGTGCCCAAGAAATTTTCAAAAGGGAAACAGCTTAGTTCATTTAAAGTAACATTAAAATATTCTACATCATTAGCTAAATGCAACAAGCAATGCACATTATATATACAAGTCTCTGAGCCGTATAAAATTGAAAAGTTATTGACAAAACTTGAAAGCATTTGTTTTGCTGTATCAATCCATCCTGTTCCTACAAGTTTTGAGTCAAGTAAAATCCTCATAGCAGCATGAAAAAGCAGAAAATGATCATATAAAGGTTTAGGTAGGATATTCTGAAAAACCACAGGCCCTAAATACAACAATATGAGCCTGAATTCAGTTGCCTTAAATCTTAGTAGCTCATCTAATGACCTAGGTTTACGACTAAACTCAAGAGGAACCATGTTAGCACAATATTTCAACCTTTTTGACAATTTAACTCTGCAATTTACAGAAAGCTTTACTGGTTTTGATAATTTTTGAGGTTTAGTCCAGTATAGAAGTAATTTCCTCATAACTCCCAAACAACACAAGTGCATGTAATCAAGTGCAAAGTCTTTAATAATATCACATTTATTTAAGTTTAACAATGGTGTTGTAGAGGTGTGATGCTTGGCACATATTTTATTTTTAAAATCATCATGGGTTCTTTCGTTGAATGCGGTTTGTGAATAAACCATCCTGCTTTTAAAATATGTACCTTTTTGGTGACATCGGTCACAACCATACGTTCCATTGTGCCCTATTGTACATTTAACGAAAGATCTTGCGGGTGCGTCGCATGTAAAACAAAGCAGATCTACTTTAACTATATTGTTATCAAAAATAATACCGCTCAAAGATAGCTCATTTAATTCTACAACAAACTCTTGAAAATACCTATCTACAGAGCTTGGTTTTGATAAACCACAGAATATTGCAACAGGAAAAGGTGATAATCTATATTTATTGTCATTTACTCTACATAATATTGGCCACAGTTGCTTATTATTGCTCTTAAATATTGGTACACCATCTATATTGAATATTAATTTAAACCCTGATTTTAAAAAGTGAGCTCTCAACTCTGGTATTTTCAAATAAGAGTTTAATGTGTTCCTTATGCCAAAGTAAATAAACTGACCACTACTGAGTGTACTGGCCTCAGTACTGGCATCAGAGGAAAAAACTTTAATATTATTATTAGAAGTTCGATCGGTACCCAATAAAGTTCTAGCATCTAGAGGTAAGTTCAATTTAGGCATCAGTGTGCTTAAACCTTTAAGTAGACTGTTTACTTGAGCAAGGTTTACATTTTGTTTGATAGTCCAATCTTTTAAAAACGTGTTTAATCTTTTTGTTAATTTTTTTCCAGAACTTTCTGATTCTGTTTCAGCATTTTTTGTGTCATCCGAATCAGAAAAATTATCAACTACATTTAAATGCTGTATCATGTGCTCGGGAGAATGCTCAATTGAGACATGCATTTCTTTATCAACGCCCATACTATCTAGGTTATTAGACAAGCTACAACCAGCAATACTATTTTCTTCAGGCAAATCTAAATTACATGGTATTTCTGATAAATCTGCAGTCTCAATGCGAAGTTTTTTTCTAAACCTGTATTTAGCACAGTACTCCGCATTTTTGCTAGATTTCTTGTTCTTACTACTCATGTTGAAAAAATATAGAACTCGATATAGAATTTATAGATAGAAATGTAGTTCCCTACCTCCTTATGAAACACAAAATAACTCTCCCTACACCACCAACCACAAAAACACTCCGTTTGCTAACTAAACAAAAACAAAAGACCAACAACCACGAAACCAGGAAACCGTAAAATATTAATTAATAACTCTAGGCTAGGTACAAAATGCAAAATGCCAAAATGCAAAATGCCTACAAAATGGAGTCGTTCGTCGTTCTCGTTCTGTCCACACCGGCGCCCAACCACACAGACGACAGCGCGCGATGCCGTGCAACGTTGCCATTGCCTAGTATCTATATTCCTGCCTTTACAGTTGTTAACTTGGTCTGTAGGTATAGACAACTGGAGCGAATAAGTAAAATATTAATTTGTAATTTATGTTTTCATAAATTATCAGGATTTTTTAACGAAAATCACTAATCAGAGTCAATTTGATTTTAATCGCTTCGTCAATGACGTCAATCGCAGAAAAAATATCTTATTCAACCTGAAGTTTAGCCTAGAATGGCAACACGGTGAAAGATCATCCTTTGTGTAGATGTTTGCCGATTGGCGATTGGCTCGCGAAGTTCCCGTGACTTGAAAATGAAGCGAGAAATGCAAAAAAAATGACGGTTTGGAAAAAAATTCCCCGCGGCCGCGTTTATGGCAAAAATTTTTTTCGGGGTTCTAATGTTTTTTTTTTTTTCCATTTTGTAGTTGAAATCAAAACGAGGCCACCACAGCATATTAAAATCAATAAACAATAATTATTATTATTGAGCAACAGGAACTTTATTCCCAGAAATGCCAAAAATAAGACACTTATTTGTAACATTTTTATTAAAAAAAAAAAACTCATTAGGTTTGTACTAATAATTATTATGAGTACCTCCTTCATTACACATACACAAGTAGGTACATACCTACCTATACTACATGTTTAAGCATGTAGAATAATTCAGAGAATCTAATACCTAATAATTTAATAAAATAAAAAAATAATATTTGAAATATATTTCCTTTTTATTGAATATTTAATATGTTCATCAAATTATTTATTTTATCCCAATTAAATATTAAGAAAATAATATGTTTTTTGTAATATTTTATATATATTTGTTTTTGTGAGAAAATAATTATAAAATATATAAATATATTATAAATATTCGTTTAATATTTTGTAATAAATATTTTTTTAATAATATTATATACATATTATCTTTTGCTTTCCAAATATTTAGGAGACATATGAATATATAATAAATATTTAAGTAATATTTTGTGCTATTGGGGAAAGTTACGATAAAGCCTGCATCATATTTTTTGGGTATGGAAATCATGAAGTCAAAGAATCGATCAGTTATCATAAATCAAAGTGCATATGCCAAGAAATTATTGAAAAAATTTGGTATGAACATTTATCTCCTGCAGTGATCCTTACCTAATCCATCTTAAATGTGCCCAGCAACATGGTCTCCATGCATTGATTCTGAGTTCCATCTGTTTTGCAAGATGTCATACGAAATTCCATTTATAAGATTTTTCAAATTAACTTTAAATAAACAATGATAATAGGATAATACAATAAAAATCAAAAATAAATAAACGTATATTTATTTCATCGAGCCATAGGATTGTTATAAGTAGATACAGGAGAAACATAAAGCGGATTCATTTCTGTAATATTTTTGCTAGCATTAACGAAACGCTTATATTCCGCTTTGTCTTGCCGATAAATTTGAAATTTCCTAAATAGAATAATTATAATTCCACCAAGAAGAACTGCAACAAAAACCCCTAGAAGAAAATAGCATTCTGTAATAATGTTACTATTCTTTAGTGGAAACTTTTACCTAAAAACATTGTCATCCCATAAGCTTCGTTGGTAAAAAAGCATATTTTGTTGGTAATGCCTAAATGCACAGTATTATTTTCACCTCTATGATAGCAATAGTCTATTTGACATCTTTGCACTTGAGATGGAAAATAGACTATGGAGCAAGTGTCGCTGGCTGAAAATTCATAACAAAATTATAGCTTTTCCAAAGTCAATTGGGACAAGGTGAGCATAAATGATAACTGATGGCTGACTAGTGACAGTGTATTTCTTGTGTCAGCCACCAGTTGTTACCTTGTTCCAATTGAGTTTGGAAATACTATACTTAACAAGAATAATTTAAGTAGGTATCCAAAAACTTTACCGTCACATAATCCATCATTTTCCCATTCTTCAAATAAAACCTTTGTCTCTTGGATTGCTACAGATTTGTTGCTATTTTCCTCCATTACAAACTCTCTGACGTACTTTTCGTAAGATTCGCAAAACAAATTCTTATCCTGCGATATTTCGCAATATTTTCCCGAGTAGCCTTCGGCGCAGGCGCACTGGTTGCACTCGCACACCCCTTGTCCGTTGCATAACTTACTGTCCTCGACTATTCTGCATTCTTTTGTAGATACTTCGCAGGAACAATCTTCGCCGGTGTAGCCTTTTTGACAGGAGCACACGCCTTCGTAACAGGTGCCTCTATTACTACAGATAATGTGGTTTTTGTAGGGACACTCGAACTCGCAAAATTGTCCCGTGTAGGGGACGGGACACTGACATTTTCCGCATATGCAATCGCCCCTAGAAAAATTATCAATTTGGATAAGGAACTACATCCAGGGAATTCATCAAGTGGTTTCACTTTAGTCAAAGAAATATGACAATTTTACTTCAAAGATTCAAAACACTTACTGTCCCGAACAGGAAATCGTTTCCTCGTCCTGACGACAAGCGTGAGGGTCTTCTTTACACTCCTCCGAACATTTATCTCCTTTCCTGCAATAATGAAACAATCATTTTTTTTTTCAAAAAACCCAAAAACATATATCCTCACCATCCCAAATCGCAGGCACACATGCCACAATCGTTTCTACCATTTTCGCACATCAAATCCTCTTGCGATTTGTAGTTTGGACATTTGCAAGTACCTGCCACGTATTCTATGTTGATTTCAATTTCTTCGTTGATGTTTTTCTCTCTTATATGGATTTGTTCCTAATATAAAAATATCAGCGTCAAGGACGTATATAAGAGGGGGTTTTGGGGGTTCGAACCTCCCCTCATGGAACTGAATAAATTATTTTTATTGAAGAAAAATAAACGTTTTTGGACGAGGCACCCGAAAAAAAAAATCGCTTTTGACGATATCCTGATGGGCTTCAGAGCTGTGCGGTACTCGGATACGGTACGAGTACTCTTCATTATTTTTAGTTACTCGGTACTCAGGCCAAGATACTTTCTGAATCGCGTACTTGGACTGCTTAAAAATATAGAAAATAGGTACCCGGTACTTTTTATTGTACTGAGTAATTTTCAAAATACCCACGCACATCCGTTTTTACTTAAATACATTTGTTATACCCGGGTATTTTCATTGTTTTCAAATACATTTGCAGTTGGTGAGTAAAATTATTGGACTCTTACCAAATACATATTTATTTGGCCACAAGTACATTTCGAGACAAGTTGAGATCTGACATTAGGTCTGTTCCAACACGTCAAAAACCGTCCCATGAACGGTTTCGAAACCACTCAGTGAACGAATTTCGGTTTTTACGCACAAATTTTACAGTTTGCGCAGAATCATGACGATAAATTGTACGGTTTCCTGCTGTGGTGGAACAGACCTATTATGTTACTATTATGTCAGATTATTGAAATTTTCTGGGCCGAAAATGTGAAAAAACGGTTTTTATTTTTTTACGAACCCTAAAACCCAAAAAACAAAGTTGCGTAAATGCTTTTCTACTAATTTTCACCTCCTCTTTCGATTGGTAAAGTCAAAAATTGCAAAATCCATGGAAATTTGATTTTCAAATATTTCAAACCAGTTTAGAAACCAGTGAAGCTATCGGCATAAATATTTTGCTCAATTGTAGCTTGTCAGAAAGACTGTAAAAAAGGTTATTTGAGACTTCGAAACCAAGAGCTTCGTTTTCGAGAAAATCAGCTTTGAATCTTTTGTGAAATTTGAAACAAAGTTTTGACTTTGAGCCTCAATATTTCCAGAAGTATTTAATATAGAGAATTAAATCTCATTCTATCCTAAAGATAATTTAATTCTGATTCAGAATATATAATTATACATTATAATTTGTGCAGTTATAACCGAGTCCTCATAAACTCTGGACTCTGGATAACCAAATCAAACTTCAAAATTGCTGAATTCATTTAGTAAACCAAAATGTGTTTTTCAATTTTTGATACCGGTGGTTTGATGGTAAATTTCGGGAAATTTGACGGAAATGTGAAAGGGGAGGTGACGTCATAACCCATGTGCAATGCTAAGTTCGCAGCTACCTCAGCGCTTGCAGCCTATGAGGATTCATTAGATTTCCATGATAGATCAAGGCTGTTTAAAAGAAGACGTTGCGTAATAACTTGTACCTATGACATCATTGGTGGTATTAGAATGTATTCATAAATGTACACGGTACTTTGAATACTTGGGTATTGAATACTTGTAATTGTACTCTGTACTCGAGAACACTCTACACTAAGTACTTGTACCCGGTAGCCGAGTACATTTTGTCTGTACTCGAAACAGCTCTGACTATGCTACGCCTGCTCTAAACCCCCCTCCCCATGTGAAAGCTATAGCTACGTCGTTGATCAGCGTAGGTATTTGTTTATTGTAAACCATTATAACTCTTACTGAAAACTTTCTAGTGGTTTCTTTGAGGCTAATTTCCAATTTAAATTGCACAGGTTTTTCTTCTTCAATGTTCCAACAGCCAGAAGTGTTGTTGAAATGGCCCAAACCGTAACAATCTCCGAAGAATTTGACGCCCAGTTCCGGCGCATGAGTGGTGTTGACTGAAAATTCAACTTGCCTATATACAAAAAGAAAACAATTTGGTTGATTAACTAATGGAATTTGTGGTACAAACTTGACAAAATCGTAAAATCCAGCTTTGACCAAGTCGATTATATTTGTTGAGCTGTCTTTTTGGAGCTCGCCTACGAAAGCTTCGTGTTCCAGAATGTCGGTTTCCATACGCTGGTAAGGTTTGATTTTGTCTTTTGTCACAGCAACTATTAAATTGGCCTGAAAAGATTGAAAATAATTATATTTCTTAGAAATAGCGGGAGAGGAATTTAAGTCAACGTGTGAATTCATGGAGGAACCAAAAACTTGGACATTCAAGAGAGTCCACCACAGTCCAGAGTCGATAGTCAAAGAGTAAAGAGTCCAATGAATATAAAATTCGTGATTTTTTTTGTTGGAACTGTTATAAAGATTTTTGTAATGTTTAATATTTAAATATAGTCTTTAGATAATGTCCTTAGACAATGAAAATTTTAGATGAAATCTGTCTTAAGGTATTTATGGGGCTCTTGCCAGGCCTAACAACTCCCAAACTGATGAGCTTACAACATAAATAGTGCAAGAAAGATGCCTAAGCTATGTTTGTACTAACCGCAGCCATGTTGATCAAATAACATTGATAGAAAGTTGGGAAAATTCAAAAGATGTTATGACTACGTCAGAGTCAAATAAAATGATACTTCACGAGTATTTTCACCAATATAAGATGGCTACAAATGATACTATGGCACAGCATGTCTCAAAGATACAAAATCTTGCAAAACAAATGGAAGATGAGTGACGACATAAGTAATATGATAATTATGACGAAAATATTGAGTACCTTATGTTTAAAACAATGGATAATTTAAAGGCTCGACATTTGGATGAAGAGAGTAACCTCCAGAATTACGAGGAAACCGAACAAGCCTTTGCAACAATGTTATTTAATAAAAAAATGAGAAGCCGAGAGGTCCTTTATGTCATCATTGTAGAAAGAGAGGCCATATCTTAAAATACTGCAGAGAAAAGACGAAGAAGCAAGATGAAAGACCCAGAAAACGAGAAAATTCCAAAAATTAGAAAAACCAGACAGCGTTCAATGTTGAAGTTGAAGCAAACAGTGTTATTTTTGAGAATAAAACATGGATTATGGACAGTGATGCACGTTCTTTTTCCTAGACAGAAGTCTGACAAGCAAGTCCTTTTTAATTTTAGTAATTTTTGCTCTCTATTTTTGGATTCTCCCTTATAGATTTTTCAATATATTTTGCTATCAATTCATATTATCATATCATTGTTTAATTTTTACCTGATAAATCTTATCTTATCTATTCTTGAAATGTAATTATTATATTTTAATTTTTTTATCTAATTGTGGGCTTCCATTTTGTGTGAGTGCTGATTGGTAGTGCCACATTTATCTGAGGTAAGTCAATTCAGATTTTTGGACTTCAAATAGGTACTGCTAGTTTTCAGAATTAATTGTTAGTGTGAGAATATTGGACCATTTGCTCTAAATAGAGTTGGTGAAAACCAAATTTGTGTGTCCATCCCTATCAACTCTTTATTGAATCCAGGCAGAGGCCTGAATAGCCATATACTGTTTGACTCCGTCAATTATTATTTCGACTAAAGGGTGTAATTTTTTAATAGAAATCCAGATAGGTCAAAAAGTTATAATTAGAACATCTCAAGAATTTTGACATATTCTGGATTTGATTGATTTCACCCTCAGGTTCATCTTGTAGTACAATATTATTTTTCTTTCAACTTGCAATAGCTGTTCATACCTGATTCTGTTGGAAGGAAGTGTCTGTACCGTTGTACGACAATCGTTTTATATTAAATTTCAATTTCAATTTCCTTTGACAGAATTCAGGGATCTTATATTCCAAATATTGGTGAACCTGATACTGCCTTATTCTTTTCTGGGTACCTACTCTACATAAAGATAACTAGGTTTGGAGACTGGATCAGCTGGAGTGACGTCACCCCAGCAATCTTTTCTTTTCCTGGATACAGGAAACAACACCAAGAGTTTCAGTTCACGAAAGAGAAACCCCCAACACTCATTGAAGAGCTACGGATTAGAAAGGTACATGGTATCAGATTCACCGAAAAAACCAAGCTGTCAACACTAAAATTTTACAGAAAGTAACATTTACTGTTATTCTATGTTACTATATAACATAATAAACATATTGTTTGTTGGATTTTGAGTGGTTCCATTTGCACATAAAGGGACTATATTTACGTTATCTTAATTTTTTGAATTCCACGACCCTAGGTTATCTTGTCTTAAAGTTCAAATAATCAATAATTTGTAATAAGTCTAGACTTATTTTAAACGTTAGATGGTAAATTCAAGTCAAGTGACACTTGGAAACAGCCAACACTTGTCGGTAGAAGGAAAAAGTACGTTAAAAATTCAAAAGCTGATTCATGGTTCAACAATTAATAATGTATTATACATACTACAGCAGATAGCAGATTGAAAAAGAGGCAAAGGTTTATGGAGGTTCGAACCTTGTAGCAACAGCTGTGAAAGACTCGAGGAATACCTATAAAATGCTATTCAGAACCATCATCTACACTACAAATTTAACAGTTTCTGACAATTTGAAATTATGGCATGAGCGCTATGGCCCTTCTAATATGTGAAATATCTCAAGGAAATGCTCAAGAAAGTCTTGGTTGCAAGTGCATAAAAGCTCAGTGATGTTGATAACTTTTTCGACGAGTCTTGCTTACCTAATGGTAAGCAGCATAAACTGCCCTTCAAGAAAAAGAATGAAGAACATGCGAAAATAGAGATTGGTGAGAGAATCTACAGTAATGTGTGCGGGCTAGTGTGGCACCTATTGCAACTCCTTTGGTACAAGGGATGAGATACTTTGTAACTTTTAAAGATGAAAAGAGTGGTTATCGTGTAGCATATTTTCAGCACAAATATGACGTTTATGAGTAATTTTAGAGTTTCAATGCAAAACTTACAACAAAATTTGAGCATTCATGGTACCGAGTACCTTAACAATGAGTTCAAATGGTTCTTAAGCAAATGAGGTAACCGCGTCGTAAATCTTTTAACAAAACAGTCGGGTGTTGTTATACCAGTCATGTGCTCCAAAATACTTGTGGGCTGGGGCAGTTAATACTGCTATTTACATATAAAAAAAATACCTAATAGAGTGCCTACTTCGCATGCCTCAGGTAAAACGTCATAAGTACGGAATTTGGTGTAGACAAAAACCAACAGTTGACCATTTGAATAGTGTTTAGTTGTGATGCATACGCGCCAGATGAAAAGCGTAGAAAACTGAATACAAAAAGCCAAGAACTCATGTTCATTAGATGTGATAAAAATTCTGAGAAGTATGGACTTTTTAATCTCATAACGATTTCAAGAAATGTGGTGTTAAATGGAAAAAGACAAAGTGATTTGAATCCAAATAACACACTGATGGAAATAGAACTCGAAAATGATGACGTCACTAATTTTGCCGACGTGGAAGTAGAAGTTAGAAATCAGGTTAAACAAGAAGTAGAAGAAGAAGATTATGAGCATGTTGGAGGGAATGGTGCAATGCCAGATCTTAAACCACATCAGAGGAATGTTGGCATGTCTGCAAGATTTCATGGTTTTCACTTGAAATTTGTAGTAATTAACACTCCAGACACTTATGATAATGCTATGAAAAGCAAAGAAAATGACAAATGGAAAGAGGCGATTAATGAAGAGCTTATGTTTTGTTTAAGAACAACACATGGATAATGGTAAAAACTCCAGAAAATAAGAAACCTATAGAGTCGAGGTGGGTTCTTCCAGTTCAAAGAAATCAAGACGGCACAATCTCAAGATACGTTAAAGGATATGCACAAAAGGAAGCCATAGATTATAATGAGATTTATGCCCCAACAACAAATATGAATTAAAGCACATTAAAATTACCCTATGGCGAACTCGGAGAAAATATATAAATGAAACTACCACCCGGATTGGACTGCATAGAAGGTTTTGTTTGCAAAATGTTGGAATAAGAAATTCAGCTTTTTTCTATTAAATTTTGGTTTTGAAACTTCGACAGCAGATAAATGTGTCTACACAGGGTACGTCAAAGATATATACTAAGTAGTATTTCCTGGAAAAGTTAAAGTAATTAGGTACTAGTAAGTAGTTACCTATAAACCATACAATTCAAGTATTTGCTTCACTACACCTGTCAGACGGATGGATTCCTTACGTCGGCAAAAAATGGAAACACGACATGGTTTTTATGTACAGTGTTTATACTTTCTGAATCAAACCATAAGAGGGGGTGTGACACAAAACCTATTTAAATTGACGCAGCGATAGGGGTGAGAACACAAAAACAATACGAAAATGTCGATGATATATGACGCAAGCATGAGCAAAAACTTCTCAGCGCCGGTCGGCGGACTCAGCTGGTGTATATGACGTCACAATACTGGAATGAGAACTTTATACCAATAACCAAGGTATCTTTGCAACGATTTTTTTTTTTAACTTTTATTTTTATGTCACACTTCCTATTCGGACTGATTAAGGCTCCTTCTTTTTTCGATTTGCTCCACCCCTACATAAATGCATGAAAGCTGTCATTTTTAATCGTAAGTATACTGTTCACTAGTTCACTTATCTTATAATTTATCGAGTATTAACTGACAACAGAACAATTTTAAGTGAATACTTATAGAACCAGAGGTTCTAGTACATAAGCTTAGTAATTACTAGAAGGAGAAGTAAATACTTGATCTTAAAGTATTTACTCATATTTGATTTACCTACTCAAGTATTTAAGTACCTATAAATGCCCTAGTATGTAGAAGCATTTACTAACTTTTATTCACTTGGCTCAATATAGGAAATACCTACGAGTTTTTGGACAAAGACGGAAATGTTTGGGCACTAGCTACACGAATTAATAACGTCATATTCAGAGTTTTTAACTTTAAATTGCCTATCGACTTTTTTGAAAACTTTTCGAGAAATTACATTTATATCGGCACCTGACGCAGATAACATGAAGTTTGTTGATGAATCTTTAAGTCTGTCGTTTTTAATCTGACACTTTCCGTATGAGGAGCGAGGGGGTGAAGCTTATGGCAAAAACAGGTGTGACGTCAGGTGACCATTGGTGTTCTAATGTAGGGAGTCACCATTCCTTTGAAGTATCAGATTAAATGAACAGACAAACAGAAAGATTGAAGTTCTGTTATAGTGGGTACTTGGTCTTGGCATTTCTTGAGTTGCTTTTAAATGTTCATTTGTCGTATATAAACCTTCAGTGCATAGTGCGTTCCAAAAAATTAATAGTTTTCTGCAGCAAGATATATTTTCATATTTGTATGTTTAAACCAGCATTACACAGGCCTGTTCCAAACGTTTCAAAGTAATAAAACACAAAATCAAGATAATATAATTATAAAAAACTCAAAACAATACCCAATTAAAATATATTGGCTAATATTATGTAAATAATTACCGATTATAACAAGAAAAAAAAAATCAATTCAAACTTAAAAATGAAGCTGTCCAGTATCGTTCTGTTTTTCCTGATTGCCTCACTGCTTTTTGTAGATGTGCAGCCTAAAAAAAGGAACTTTCATAAAGGACGTAACCCTAAAAAAAAATTGCTACATCGAGGTAAACCAAAAAGTAAGTTGAATTTTAACTGACAAAAATGTAAACCACATAAAAATTACACTTTTTTTTTTCTAGTGGCAAGTCGTGACTTCGCGAAACAGTTTGAGTGGTTGTACTACTGGTAGCGTAGAAACTGTCTAAGGAGAACCGTTTAACTTACAATGATTGTACTTATATACCTGCTTACTTTGAATAAAATAATTCAATTACCTAATTTTTTTTTTGTTCAACTGGTTTATTATCATAATTTCTCTTAACCAATTCAAATTCCAGAAATCTTATAAAGTTTGTCTCAGTAATTTCTAACATCCAGGAACCAAAATTAAATTTGAAAGGGGGAATTTCATTTTGATCTTCTTCATTTGGGAGCTACTACATTATTTTGATGCATGGGTTCTCAAGATTAGAAGCTATATTCATAGAAGATGCAAAAACATTATTGTGATAGTGATAGAGCAAAAGTAAGGCTGTTATTAAGAAAATTAGATGGTAACTGTCATGAAAAGTACACGAACTATATACTACCAAAAGGCATAAGAGATATCAACTTCTATAAACCAGTAGTAAACAGTGTTGCCAGGTCATATTCTGTTTTGTCAGTAGATTACCAGTCTAAATATCAGTAGAAATCAGTAGACAGATAAGTTGCCTTGTTAAAGGGGTAAACCATTAGGGTAGGTGGAGTGTCAATATATAAAAAAAAATTGAAGGGTGAATAACACTTCTCGGACTAAAGAATTGTAACAACACTTTGTTAGCAATCTGCTTCATTATTTAACATTCAACAACACGTTGACAGACTGACAATCAACAAAAACTAACTAGTCTACAAAAGTCAAAAACGACATAGGTACAGGGTAAAAGAATTGTACAGATACAGTGAGCATCAAAACTTATATACAACACGCCACCTCAATTAAAATGTACATATTATAACAAAATAAAATAAGAAAACAAATAGGTAAGTAGGTACCTACATTTAAATTCTCACAAAACAATATAAAAAGTAAAAACACATTACTGGCTCAATAAGCTCTGCCTAAACTTCGCAAACTTTTCTTTTCCTAACGACTTCGAAAACGCATCCATCAGAAAAGTTATCATTGGAACAAATGTAAATAATTTCTATTATCTTTTTCTGACAAAGATCTTTAATGAAATGATATTTAATTTCTATGTGTTTACCTCGCTTGGAGTTCTCAAAGTTTTTAATCATGGAAATAGCACTTTGATTGTCTATTTTTAAAGTAACAGATTTGCACTCGCCAAAGTCTGCTAAAATACCTTTCAAATTGACCACCTCCTGAGCTGCGCAACCAGCTGCTACATACTCAGCCTCCATTGAAGAAAGGGCTACACAACTCTGCTTTCGTGAGTGCCAAGCTATTGGATTCCCGTCATGGAAACATATGAAACCACTTACGCTCTTCCTTGTCTGCCTATCACCAGCCCAATCTGCATCATACATAGCTTCTAAGCTTCTATCATTTTTCCCATACATCAATCCATAGTTCTTAGTTCCATTAAGATAACGCATAATCCTTTTTCCAGCTTTCCATGCTTGTATTGTTGGCTTGTCTAGGTATCGGCTTAAATAACAAACACTATAAGTCAATACAATGTCCGGTTAAGTTTTAAATACTTTGAGTCGCTTCTGAGTCCCTCTGGCCTCTTAATATACACTTCACTGTCCAATTGATCATTTAGGAACGCGGTTAGCACATCTATCTTGCTCAGTACCCAGTCTTTTTGCACTGACACTGAAATTAAAAGTCTAATTGTAGGAAGTCTACACACTGGTGCATAAATAATTTCTTCGCCCTCTTGTGGTACCTGAAAACCCCTTGCTACAAGTCTCGCTTTCTTCGTGCCGCCCTCTTTCACCTTAAAAATCCATCTCGTATCAATTGCTTTTTGTCCTTCAGGTAATTCGGTTGGCGTCCAGGTATGTGATTTTTCATGAGATTTCAACTCATTGTTTATTGCTTTTAGCCACTCTTCAGATTCACTGGCTTCTTGATATGTCTTTGGCTCTTCCTGACTCTCTGAGAGTAAACAATATGCCACATACAGCTCATAATCATCCAAGTTTTTAGGCTTTCTTGTATTTCTTCTATGTACAATCTCTCGTTGGTATATATTCAGGATCACTTGAGCTTCCACTGCTTTCATCTAAACTTCCATATTCTATATCTTCATCTCCCGCAATTCGCTCTCTTCTTGAGTATTCTCTGTCTCATTCGAATTTCTATATTCTTCTACTGTCATAGGTATATAATTATTTTCCTGTTTCTCTACATTCTTGAATTCCATAATAGACTCATCAAACCTAACATCTCTTGATCGAATGATTCTTTCTTCTGTAGGTGACCATATTCTGAAGCCTCCTCCACAATATCCCATCATCACTGCTTTTGGATTCATCTTTGTTTCTTTTTGGTAACACTATATACCATAATTGATATTCGAAAATTCTTAATTTAGTCAAATTATTTCTTCCGTGCCAGATCTGTGATGGTGTCGTTCCTTTCGGTAAAACTGATGTTGGGGTTCTGTTGAGTTCATATGCAGAACACTTCGCAGCTTCTCCCCATATAGTGATTTTGGGGAGTTGGAAGTTCTGTTCATCCTTTCAGATTTATTGTTCATCTGAGGACTGTAGGCCGTTGTATATTCTAATTTAATTCCCTTTTGTCTGCAAAAATCTTTAAAACTTCTCAATGTAAACTCTCCTCCATTATCTAGTCTGAAATGTTTCACTCTCACATTATGCTGTGTCTCTAACTCGAATATATAATCTCTCATATTTCCTTCTGCTTCATATTTATTCTCAAGTAACTTTACAATAACAAAATGCGAGTAATCATCAAGAATCATTTGAATATATCTTTCTCCATTAACTGTATTAGGTGTCAAAGGTCCACATAGATCACTATGAATCAATTTTCCTATGGCTGTTGTACGTATCTCATTGGTTACAAATAAAGAACGTGTGGTTTTCCCTTCAACACAAATTCAACAGATTCTGTCTAAAGTTTTCAAACCTAGCTGTGATAGAACATCTTTACTTGCATGCCCAAGTTTTCTGTGCCATATATCATCATCTATATTTAGATTACATGTCCTATCAATGCTATTTAGCGTAAGTATATACAATCCGTTTCTATTCTGGCACGTTAAAGTAAAATTTTTACCTCTAATTGTAGTTTGGTCTTTTTCCACTAAAATCTGCTGTCCTCTAGATGTTATTTTTGATGCTGACATCAAGTTATGTTTTATTTTTGGTACAATCAAAGCCTCAATATAAACAGTTTGCCCTTGACAACTTGCTTTTAACTTTCCCACCTTATTTGTCTCCAAAATTTCTTCGTTGGCAATGTATACTGATACATTCTGTGGTAAGGTTTTTACATCATGCATATACTGTTCCAATTCCTCTTGAACAAAATGGTTACTTGCACCTGAATCCAATATAAAAGTAACTTTACCCTCAGGTACAGTATTACATACATTTGCTGCATACAACACAACTTGATTGTCAACAGCATTAACCTCTTGCTTATTATAATATCCACTTGCTCCTTGGTTGAAACTTCCACCTCTATGTCCTCTTGAATTATGTACTCTTCCTCTAAACCGGGTGGCTGACTAGTGGCAGTGCATTTCTCATGAAAGTATTCAATCACCAGTTATGATTTACCTTTACCTTATTTCAACTGACTTTAAAAAGACTATACATGCACATCGATTTTCAAGTCTCTAAGTTAGTTTCAGGTATCTCAAAACCTTCCAACCTAATTCTTATGTGATTCAACTTAACTTTAAAGCCACTTAGGTAATTTCAATTGAGACAGAAGCGACTCAGCTTAATTTCCACCTATCTGACGGTTGCCAAACAATAAAGCTTAATATTCGAGCGACTCAGATTAACTTTTAAGCTGAATGCCTCAGAAACGCTTAAGCTATATTCTTAAGTGTTTCAGCTTAATCTTTGAGCCTTCTAGTTAGTTCCAAGGTCTAAACCTTCCAACGTAATTCTCAAGTGACCCGTCTTGGTTTTCAAGCCATTGAGGTAATTTTAATTCAGTCAGAAGCGACTCAGCATAATCTAAAGCTTGTTAGTTAGTTTTAAGTATCTCAGAATCGTTCAATTTTCAAGCCGAGTGCCTCAGAAACGTCTCAAATTTATTTTTGATAGGCTCAGCTTAATTTTAAAAAGCGTCTTACTTAGTTTTCAATGTCTCAAATTGACTCAGCTCAACTATTAAAAGTAACACTGCATCTTGATTTTCAAGTTGGTCAGTTAGCTTGAAATGTGTCTCAATTTTGGGTGATTTAGCTTGACTTTCAAGCCTTTCAGTCGATTTCGAATGTCTCAGAAGCGATTCGATTCTACATGAGACAGGTTTACAAGCTTCCTAGTTTCGAGTATACCAGGAATGATATAGCTCAATATCTTAATGATTTTAAAGCTTCAAAACTAGGTTTAAGTACCTATCTCAGAAGTGCCTCGACTCAAATTTCAAATTGCACGACTTCATTTTTTAATCTCTCAGTTAATTTCGAATGTCTCAAAAGCTACTCAGCTTGATTTTGAATCGTTTCAGCTTAATTTTAAAGCTTCTTAGTTAAATTTGATTATCCCAAAGACAACTTGGTTCAATTTTCAAGTGACTCAACTTAATTTTTAGGTGAGTGCCTTAGAAACGATTCAGCTATAATATTCTCAATGGAGGCGCCTCAGCTCGATTTTCAAGTATCTTAACTAATTTTGACTATCTCAGAAGCGACCCAGATCAATTCCTAAGTGGCTGCATGATTTTGAAGTAGGTATCTTAGTTAATTTTTAGAATATCAGCTTAATTCTTATACAGTGTGTCCACTTAAGTTCGCAGCATATGGAAAACTTTTTTATTATCAATTTTACGAAAAGAAGTTATTCTTTATAAAAGTTTCTGCTTCTCGAAAAAATAACATTAAACTACTAAAACTTGAAATAGCATGTACAGGGTGGTCAAAAAATAGAAAAATATACAGGGTGTTTCCTGAGTACGGTTCGTAACTTCAAGATGTGATTCCTTACAATATTTTGAGAAAAAAAGTTCCTATAAACATGTGTCCGGAAGTGCATAGTTTCTGAGATACAGGGTGTCAAAGTCTTAGAAAAAATCGTTTTCTTA